CGGCGTTAAACAACAAACAAACAAACAAACTTCCTGTATTAGATATAAAACATCAAACATGTGCATAGAGGATATTTGAGTGTGGCCCTTCATATTAGAAACAACGGTTGATTCTGCAGGTCCTAGAACGCCACACCATATACACAATATAATACAATTGCACTTACTGATCTCTTAGACAATGAAGGATTTAATAAACCAGGTATTGAAGACAGGTTATATGGTTTACACTTAAAAGATAGTATATACATGCGGAAAGAAATTATTTTTACAGCACCTACTATCTCTCTAGGAGATTTAGATTATATTGGGGTTAGAGAACTCAGTAAAAACACTTTGTACAACTTTCCCTCGCCGATGATAAATGGATTATGCTCGAGTGGGAATTATAATTGCGGCTTATATCCAATCAAAAAGAAAGAGTGTGTTCGTTGCTCCACTACAGGAGAAACTATATGTTAATGAGTCTTCAGTCATTAAAAGATATTAGCTTAGCTTACTGAATTCGGTGATGTATTAAATAAATTGAAGGCCATATACCCCAAGGCTGTAGACTTTATATTGACGTCTTGCATGGGGACGTCAACTTTGTTGTATTTTTATACAACAAGGAACTGAGAGCTTTAAAAGCATTGAGGGGTCCAGGTTCAAGCTGGGAGCATTTCACATACTAAGATATTAATTCCGTATATACATGTATATATCTTGTAAGGTCGGTGTATGGTGAGGTGAGGTGAAATTGGGTTTAACGTCGCGTCCAAGATTATTGCACTTATATAGCGACGTGCATGCACGTGTATGTGTGTGTGTGGCTGCTTGTACTAGTCCGGACTGATGCCGATTTATAGTGCTAGCTCACTGAGATACCATGCCGCAGTTTAACATGAATACCCCACTCAGACACAGTATACTGACTCCGAGCCGACCAGTCCTTGTTTTAGCCCCTTAATGCCGAGCGCCAGACAGGGTAACAACAAGTACAATCTTTTAACGTCTTTTTGTATGACGCGGCCCGGGATCGAACCCTGGACCTTCCGCTCTCCGGGTGGACGCTCTACCACAAGACCACGGAGGCGGTCTCGGTGTATGGTCTCAAGATACTGATATGTACGGTAGCCCATAAGGGACATGGAGTCTGTTTTACAATATTTTGATGTTTCACTTACCTTTATCATAACCTTTTGCAAATTAGCACAATTTGTCATACAAATATGTGATAAATCATGTATAAAAACAACCGAAAACATGGAAAATGTACTTACAAGTAGCTATTGAGTCGCTGAAATGTGAAGCGAAAATGTCAAACACTAAAACGGAAATGTCAAAAACCAAAACGAAAAGGTCAAAAACTAAAATGGAAATGTCAAAAAGCAAAACGAAAATGTCAAAAACTAAAATGCAACCACAGAAAACTATTTCCACCGCGGTGGAAATATTTTCATCGCGGTGTGTAAATATTATCACCGCGGTGGAAATAGTTTTCTGTATTTTCATTTTAGTTTTTGACATTTTTGCTGGGTTTTTTTACATTTTCGTTTTAGTTTTTGACATTTACGTTTTTGTTTTTGACATTTCCATTTTAGTTTTCAGCGATTCAATAGCTTCTTTACACGTGATTTATCACATATTTGTAAGACAAATCGTGTTAATTTGCAAAAGGTTACGATAAAAGTACGTGAAATATCAAAATATTGAAAAACGGACTCCATGTCCCCTATGGGCCACCGAAGATAAATCAGTGAACCCGTTAAAGACTCGTATCGTGTTTGATATATAATGCCGTATATATTGTCGTAACTGCCTTTGGGCGTCCAGTGCGACCCTGCTACAGTTACTAAATGTATTGCCGTTCCTGGTCCTTGTGGTCAATTAAGCCAGGACATTGCCCTCGCCTTGTCCACCTGGGCTCGGCTCCGTCAAGGAGTGATTGGTCTAATGACACTTACTCCAAGTTGTCCCTATCAGCATTCACACACGCATAATAAAGAAACGCAACACCAGTTTATACTCACATAGTTTTACTTACTCTCAGCCCATCTATCAATACAGAACAGGATCAGACTGGCCAGGCTCGTCACTAGCTGGGGGAAACTTAGAACGATCGGGATTCGACTCGATCGATTGCAAACCGCGCTCTCCTCTCCTAATGTTGAGGGTATCATTTTATAGTGTTCGAGCCTGGCCTGTCCTTGTCACATGTCTCAATACCTCCATTTGATTCGTTACAAGTTTAGATCTGACCATGAACTCATGTGTGTCGCCATCGGAAAAAAACTAAAGCCTACGTGCCAGATTGCTCATCTCTCTATTGATTTTGTGACTCGCTCCGAAGCTCCAAATGAATTATGCCTTGTAGTTCCCCATTTGTTTCATTAACTCATGGACGATAGCCAGAGACCAATCCAATGATAAATGTGAAATGTCCAGAATACACTTGTGATAAATGTGAAATGTCTTTTCTCTATTGATTCCTTTCCAATTACAAGTTCTGTCACAAACTATATCTAATGCAACTCCTCATTGCAGCTATAATGGTTCTATTTATTATCATTAGTTTCTGAGATGCATTCTTAACCTTATAACAATATCTTGTAAGGTTGGTGTATGGTCTCAAGATACTGATATGTACGGTGGCCCATAAGGGACATAGAGTCTGTTTTTCGTTTGGTATGGAAGTAGAAGCGGTGGTCTCTGGACTGAAAATTATTTCTCGCCAGTTGCCAAAGAAAGCATTGTTGCCAAGAAAGCATTAGAACATGATAGTATTATGTACAGGTTGAGGCGCAAAGTTAAATAGCATTGAGGATCATATCTCAACATCACTAGCCGATGGTAAGATATCTGAGGAAGAGTTTCGTTTAGTGTTGTCGAAAAATATAACACAATGAAACACGAAATCCGATCAAATGCTCGTAAGACAAAACAAAGTTCATAGAACAGTGAAACACCAACACAACAAGCAGTCCAAGAATTCCGTACCAAAACCAAAGCACTGGAAGGAGATTACGAATAAAATGTTACCTCGATTTAGGATGGCATCTTGATGAAAACGTATATTAAATTTTCCATTTAGACACAAAAATATAAAATACACAGGTTATACAAAATGGAAAATTGGCCAAATGTTGGTGACTTTCAAAAGCAAGAGACAATTTAACATCAAAGGGGAAAGATTTACCTGATGGTGTCTACAAATAACTGATATTGACTCAGTTGTGGGCAGGACCAAACTTAAAAATTATTACGGTTATGAGTGTTGAAGGTATTAAAACTACAATATAGATACCAGAACCATTAACAAGTCTTACCCCCAAAGGTGGTGACACATCAAGGTGAAAACAACAGATCATTAATTTGAATTCAGACACATGAGGTTCCGATTAAGAGACGCGGGAAATATAATTTGTAATCTTAAAGTACTTCATCTGTAGTGGGGGTCACGGGGGGGGGGGGGGGGGGCAGTCGTCTAAGGCGCCGCGATTCGCCGTGCAGAGTTGCGTCCCTTGGCCACGTCAGAAACCTATGATTGTGGGTTCGAATCCTGGTTCGTCCCGATTATGTTTCTAGGTTTGTCAGCACCATACCCGTGCTCGTGGGTTTCACCGAAGTGGTAAACGTCTGAGACCTGCATCACTTCGGGCTTTCCTCCCACATTGAGCTGACACGCCGTGATATAACTGGAATACTGTAAAAGCGGCGTTAACCCAACTCACTCACTCATCTGCAGTGAGAAACTTTTTTCTGCTTATTGAATATGAGATATGGGGCAATAACAGTAACTGACAAAGGACTTATGTCGTGTTCACTATTGTGCCCACTACCCATATGACTGTGGTGCGGAGTAGCTGGCTGATGGTGAGCTAAGACTAGCGATGAAGTAGTGCACTCAGTCCACCTGCCGCTGTCCTAAATCCTGTACTAAAGATACGGTGGCCCATAAGGGACATAAAGTCTGTTTTTCCATATTATGATATTTCGGTGTAAATATTATCACCGCGGTGATAATATTTACACCGAGGTGAAAACTATTTCCACCGCGGTGATAATATTTACACCCAGGTGAAATCTATTTACACCGCGGTGGAAATAGTTTTCTGTGTATTCATTTTAGTTTTTGACCTTTTCGTTTTGTGTTTTTGACATTTTCATTTTAGTTTTTGACCTTTTCGTTTTGGTTTTTGACATTTCCATTTTAGTTTTTGACATTTTCACTTCACATTTCAGCGACTCAAAAGCTTATTAATTAACCCCCTGTAGCCATTTGGACATATATGTCCCTACACAAAACGCAGTTGCTGTGCCAGAGGGACATATATGTCCTTCTGAAACATATTCAATACGTTTGCCGAGCTATAAACTACTGTTAATCACGTTAATGCTTTACAATATTTACATAGACAGTTAGGGAAATGGTTGTGCTGTTATAGTGTGAAATTTGAAAATTGTGGGTTTTATCGTTGTTACGTTACTTCGTTTTTAGACGAAAGTGTGCAGTTTCCAGAACGTCACTCGCAAATAAACTCGGCACAGCGATAGTACACAGGCTATTTTTAGGTGGCAGCCAGAGGGTTAATAAAAGTACATTTTCTATGTTTTCGGATGTTTTTATACATGATTTATCACATATTTGTATGGCAGATTGTGTTAATTTGCAAAAGGTTAAGATAAAAGTAAGTTAAACATCAAAATATTGAAAAACAGACTCCATGTCCCTTATGGGCCACCGTATAAAGATGACCTTCTGTACCTGTGATTCTGTTGTTGGGTGTAGAAGGGATCATTGTGAATCAATGCAAATAGTTCATAAGGTCGTCTTTTTTTTGCGACTGGTAACAGGCCCCAAGGGAACAGCAACCCACTGAGCTACAATATTATATGTTTCGGACAACACCCTGTGTAAGTCCTACGGGCCTTTATCTTGGTCGAATGTAGATCAACTGCGGCGAAACGGGAAACACAAACCGGAATGGGTTCGAGCGCGAAGTAGCTTCCCAGAATGCTTTTCTCCAAACATGGCGAACAACTATGAACACATGTTTATGTTGTGTTGGATACACCGAACATGCACCCCCCATGACCACGCAAACTGAGTGGAGAGTGCACATAATGTGAATATAATGAAACGCGCAGGAGATGGTAAGACCATTTATAGTTGTTAGTCAGTTGTTTCATTCATTGCATTGAAGCCAAGTTTGTTCAAGCTGCTATTTTTAATCCGTCAACGGACTCGGCCGAGCTGGGAGACACTGCTCGCGCGAGTGCCCGGCCGAAGTGTGAAAGATAAATAGTGAAACAAATATTTTAGTAAAACACAACGAATTGGTTCAGTACACACACGGAAGAAAAGTTGTGAATGAGGATGTTCCTCGAATAATCCATTAAGAAGGTTTCTGTGGCTGAAATTGTCCGACGAAAGTTTTCAGCTGGAGTGAAGGGTGTGACAGCCACGAATCACTCACCATCATATACTGACAGATGCAGGACATGTTGTGGCTGAACTTCCCAAACAGTCTCGAGAGTGATGTTCAGTAAGACGTGGCTTCACTCAGCTGGGAAAGACTTCCGCCCGTATCCGCTCTCTAAAAGCTATATATGTATGCTTTGCAGCTCAATCCTTGTAATCCTATATATTTTCTCTAGAAAGGGGGTGGTGAGCAAAGCCCAGCGATGAAGTACCCTTACCCTTAGCTGTCACCGAATGTAATAGCCCTGTAGTCAGTGTAGACTGTGATCTGCACCAATCACCAACAGGTAGTTTCTTGCGAAATAAATCACCTACTCTCAGTTTAAAAGCCTTTTTTTTATCCCTTAATTGTGTATGCGACTTCTTTGCAATGTGACAAGATTGAGAAGAAAATAATCATGGCACCAACAAACTATCTTTTCAAAAGTAGGCAATGCAGGAAGGGAGTGAGGGTTACATGTTTCCCTCTGATTTCTCAAGGAGGGTGTACTAGTCAACGGCCAGTTGCCGGTTGTATGTTATTTTTTAAATATTCAGTGTAACAAGTAAACTCTGACAAAACCTTTGATTTTTGTGATACTTTGAGAAAATACACACATTTCTGTCAGTGGAAAAGGTTTCAGTAAATTTCTGTTATAGCTCGACGATGGGGATTCAAAACAGTGGAAATAGAAGTTTCCCATCGACCAACTGTAGCAGTTTTAGCCATGGTCTAAACAGCACATACCTTGTGATCACACGCACCGCTTCAGTTACACAAATTACATTTTCTATTTTCTCTGGTATATCGCACACATATTTAAGATTCATTAAAATTAGTAAGAAATGCTTTTATCAATTTGTCATATGCAAAAACGTAAACGAATATTCCCCAAATTCCATCAACAACATGCTTATCCATCCCTGCGTGTCTCTTTTAAAGTTGTCTATGAGCAAGGTGAGTGTATGGTGTGTTTTTAGTATTTCCACACTAGAGTCAAATTTATTTATCAGTTTTGGATAAATATTTCTCTCTTCTAATGAAAACGAGCGAAAGATGCGATCATGAGCGCGTTCTAATGGGGAGTTGCCGATAATTGGTCCTTGGCGATAACTGGTCACTTACCAGTGTATCTATTTAGTAAACTTAAAACCAAAGTGCCGCCTGACCTTTTTGTTGGTCACACCCCTACAGCTTAAGGTATGAAGAGATGGGCTGGTGACCACATTGAAGGACCAACCTTCTTATTGGCTATACTTGATTATCATACCATACCTGCATGTCAATGCTGCAATGTGCACTCTTGCCTTTAAATGAGCAATCACATGTAATATAGTTATTACGAGTAAATTGCTTAAAAAATCAGGAACTCAAGCAGTCTTAGCACATCTGAGCAAGGTCATGTCTAAAACAGGAATCGTTAAAGGAATTAGGATTTGAAATATATCAAATACTTGCAACTGTCTTGATACAAATTTCTGTCCAACATAGCTGTGTCTAACAGTAATCAAGATCGGTACTGTAATGAAAAATGGGTCTTAATTCGCGTGAGCAGCTTGATTAATAACATGGAAAGTGTTTGAAAAATATCTGTTGACGTCAAGTTTGTCATGTTTGTGGTACACATGCTTTACAAATCCTGCAATCGACCAGAATCTGCATGGCAGTTCGCGAACCAGACATCGATTTGTTACACAGTTTTGATTGGACTATGCATAGACTCAGCATAAACATAATTCCATAAGTCCTGCCTAGGTAGGCAAGGGTGGAAACTGGACTTTTACAGTCTGTTAACTCCCTTGCTTTGGGAAGATGCAAAATAACTGATCTAGCAAACACACTTTGTGGTCCCATGTGTACTCTCTCAAGACAGTGTTTATGTTTATAACAATATCTCTGAGCTGCTCACGTCACTAATAAGCCTATCAAAATATGGTGGCCACGTGCAGCTGTTCAAGCAGCAATAAACAGTTGAAGGCAAGAGATTTACTGGATTAAGTACTGACACCTTGACCTCAATTGACACAATAGCAAGACAGTGGTTGGGCCATAGACATTGAAGTGGATATATTCTGTCTAAACAATGTGACGACTAGACTGTGGAAATTCACTATTGATAAAATTACGATTGCAGACACTTATATGGAACTAGGGTTACAACAAACTAAAATTAGTGGTCCCTTTGAATTTGTTACAACCTTAGTTTACTGTTTATCATCAAATGTGTTTACATCTATAAGAGGCCCGTGAAGATCCGGGGTAGAATAGATCTTTGGCAACCCATACTTGCTTTAAAAGGCGACTATGCTTGTCGTAAGAGGCGAAGCATGGTTGAAACATGTCATCAATCCCAATTGCATGGATCGATGCTCATGGTATCAATCACTGGATTGTTTGGTCCAGACTTGATTATTTACAAACCGCCGTATATAGCTGGAATATTGCTGAGCGTGGCGTTAAACAACAAACAAGACAAAACATCTATAGAATGATATTGTATTTACCTTAATCATGTCAATACCACTTCATAATGTCACAGTTCATCATGTGTAAAGCAAAGATGTTGGTTAAAGGATGGAGTCTACTAATGCCTACAGAGACAGATGCCTTCAGTGTTAAATAAACAAATTTGTGCACCAGTGGCTTTCTCAATTACTACCTTCAACTTTGAAATAAAGTGATTTTGCCCGCCTTCGGCAAGGTGGACAAATATGAAAAGAATGTTGTTTGATATTTTATATTCATGTGAACTTTTCAGGCATACAATAACACAGCCTCAGTCATTTAGAGAACTAGTCCATCTTGACTAAATGTCTGTTGTCAGGTCCTCAAGAGGAGTCTTTAGTCCTGCTCAGAACTGGGCTTTGACAGCCTCTTTCAACGTCACTGTAAGTCCTCTTATGGGGCAGAGGTTAGTTTGGGTTAACTTGATTCTCTCTGCCCTCTCTCTAGCTCTGTACACCCGTGAAGATCCGGGGGAGAATGGGTCTTCAGAAACCCAGGCTTGCCGTTAAAGGCGACTATGCTTGTCGTAAAAGGCGACTAACGGGATCGGGTGGTCAGGCTCGCTGACTTGGTTGATGCATGTCATCAATCCCAATTGCGTGGATCGATGTTCATAATGTCAATCACTGGATTGTCTTGTCCAGACTCGATTATTTACAGACCGCCGTCATATAGCTGGAATATTGCTGAGTGCGGCGTTAAACAACAAACCAACCAACTCAAGCTCTGCAGCACCTTTACAAGAGCAAATATGTTCCCTCTGCACCATCTTGTTGGGATGAGAGTGTCATCCCACAAAAGGGTTGTTTAAGACCACAGTTTCTATGGCATGGATTTCAGTAAGTTTGAATTCTGTCTGGTTCACTTCTGGCTGCAGTGGGGTGCTTGTCGTCTGATGACCCATGCACTGGGGAGTCGTAGCAGATGCTCATTCGGCAACAACTAAAACACAATCTGGGTCAACTTACCAACAAGTCCATGATACAGCTGGTCCCACAGCGAAGGGGAGGAGTGGTGGGTTGTTAAGTCAACAATTAGCCATCAAAAAGGACTTGTTGACCTCCTGTCTTAGACTAACATCTCATTTCTGAAATGAACTGTTTTACAGGTGTTTTACAGAAAAAACAAAACGGTTGTTACATTATCGTTATGAAGTATAGTATAAAGGAGCCAGAGATTTTCTTTATTTCCTGATACTGCAGTAATCTAGACATGGTAAATATTATAGACTTGCATGGGCTGTATTGGATATATTTGTTTAAGGGTCTGCATGATAGACTCACGTTTCTGTGTCATGAAGTAAATTCCAAGACAGGCATTATGAAGCTATATAATTTCTTTTTTCACTTAGAGTAAACTAAATAAAATAAAAAAATTCTCACATCCTACTCTTTCCGAATGAAACCAGGCACTCAATTGTCATGGAAACACTGGCGATACAACAATAGACACTGGTCTAAAACTGTTTCTTTGTAGCTATTATTCCCTCTAGGCATTTGTCAATGTCTCCGACTGTCTCCTCTTCACTCTCTATATTGTTCTTATGACAAGTGTTTGGTCGGAATTGGCCCTAGCTGTCCAAATCAATTTCAAAGTCACAGATGTATCATAAAGTTAGCTGCTGAATTCAAGCAGAATATCTGGACAGGCATAAATGAATCTCCGAATGACTGTGTCCTCTACACTCTCTATATTGTCCTAATGGCAAGTGTTATGACAAGTGTTTGGTTGGAATTGGCCTGGGACGGCTCTCCCGTCTCGCGTACAAGTGACCACCTGAGAGGGGTCACTCGTATTTGTGACGGCCTGTCAGTGGACCATGGATATCTGCATGTTGCACAAAAATGTCTCTACAAGTGTTATTTGTGAAAATAATAAAACAAAATTAAGTACAGTTATTGATCATTATACTAGTTATCGAATGACATGAATAAAATGTCATAAGAAAAATAATAAACAGTCAAATAGGGAGAAAAATGTGCAAAAATCAAGCAAAATGTTCTGTTTTTGACAGCGATTTTCTCCTATGTACATGTTTTTCAAAAACTAACATGTAGTATTTTCTAAAAGCTTATTCATCGTAGAGTTACAAAATATATGAATTATTCATGCACACCAACGCACACCCATTTTCCATCGCGTTGAAAACATGTTTACTTTCTACGAAACTGCGCGAACTGTCTCGCGTACAAGTGACCTGTCGACAAGCCGATAAAGGGAGGTAACCAATGCCTGACTAAAATGTTCAATCGGAACATCCGTCTTGTTACACTTAATGTGTCTGAATCAGAATGGTGCGTATAAATTAATATCGACATGTTTATTTAGCGCATAGTTTCGTGGTTAGAACAAGGAGGAAATGTATTTTGATCACGTATAAGGAAAACAATTTTGCAGTGGGTAATATATTACCCACTGTGGAAGTAAAATTGTTCGAAAACATGGCAAAGACTTCTGCTGATTTCCAAACGACGCGCCTCGGATTTCATTTAGTTTGTACTGAAATATTATTACCCTGGCCATATATTCAACGGCACATTAACTTCTTGCAATTGGGGTATTTATCAAGCATCAAGTTTTTCGTCTATTAATATTTTCTTGAACAAAAGATAGTGAATATCAAATTTGTTAACAACAGCCAGATAGCTAGCGACATGATTACCATGACCAGGATTGCGTTCCCGGCATCGCAAAGTCGTTACGCGCATGAGAGACGGCCACCCGCTATGTAAATCAATTTGAAAGGCACTTATGTATCATAAAACTATCTGCCGATTCAGGCTGAATATCAGCCTCTGGACAGGCATAAATGAATCTCTGGTACATGAAACCTTTTCTCCCTTCTTAAGAAACATTTCTTTTCTGATGCTGTTTTCCTACAGCTAGCTGGACTTGCTTTTTGTCATCTAGACACAAACGTACAAACGTATGTATGCATGGTGTAGGCTAAAGGATTCACTATCTATATCAGTTTTATACATGTAATTTTTGCTTTTACCTGATCAGAATAACATGGATCAGCCCCCTTGACTTTGTTGTAATCCTTATTTAGACTATTTTGTCACTTTTTAAGCCTTTGGTAATAAAATAGAAAATGAACAAGTTACTATGATTACAGCAGAAAATGTGTGTTTTCCCCTATAGTCTGCGGTAGGACTAATTATGTTATCAATGCTCATGATGTCAATCACTGCGTTGTCCGACTCAATTATTTAGACCGCCATCACTTAGCTGGAATATTGCTGATAGCAGCGTTAAACTACAAACAAAACATTGTTATCTCCCTTGTACCCTTGACACCAAAATGACAGTGACTGACAATGCTGAGGAATATTTGCTCCAGTATGTAGAAAATAGCATCTGCATGTATCAGTGTCAATCACTGGCAAACTCTCACCTCCCAATATATCTAGAGGTGTAACGAAATAACAGAGAAATACCAGAGAATCTATATGAGGTGGTTGTAGATCAGTTTCTGTTATTATTGACATGCTTTTACAACAATATAACTTGTAATGTAATGTATCGTATATATAACGATCCAGGGGTAATGTATATAGCGAAATGATACCTGATACCGACAAGCCCCAATACCACTAATTAGTCACATGTATAGCAAAATGAGAAATCTCACTCGATGTCAAGTGTGGATGACAATCGGCTATACACAATCAGCGGCAAATCAACACAAGCGCGTTGACTCAACACAAATCTTGTTAAACTTGCTTAATCACTGTTAAGTCACTGTTAATGTTAATCTTACCCGTAATCTTGTCTGTAAAACAAACATTAAACCTATGCAGTTTCACGAATGCAGTCACCAAACGAGAGATGCAAGCAAAATCACCAACTACATATCTCTCCGTATGTGAAATGCTAAATACACATTTGATAAACAAGGTTCTGAAATGTTATCAATTGAATGCTATGAAGTGACCACTGCAAATACAAGTCAATCCTGCAATTATGTGTATTGTATTTTGTTTATCCTAGATGGCTGATGTTTCCAAGCGAAAACGTATATAAGGAACAGCGTATATATAACTGATTTCTCCGGTCCCTTGTAGTTCGTTCTATCCATGTTCTACTATATATGGCAATGCATTTTATTTGCCAATACACAGGCCTAATGCTTACAACACTTGTGTTGCAGATTCCGGACAGCTCCCATGTGGCGGGGTCCGGTCCAGGGGGAGATGTACCAAGTCAAACAGGATCTCCCTCCGACCCACGTTTGTGTCCCCTGCAGATGAAAGTGTGGAGACATCGCAGACCGACTCACATGCCGCTGATGCCCCACCTCACCACGTACCCAGTGTCCGCAGCCCACCTCGGCATCCTGGGTCACCGTGGAATCAATGGCCTCCTTCGCAGCAGAGGCAAAGTGGCAGAAGAATCATGCAAGCTCGGATTGTTCCTAATGAGTCGGTGTCGGCAGAATATCAGCCGACTGCCATGAAGCGGCAAGCCACCAGAATAGTACCGACAGTGTCTCAACCAAGAAAAACTGATTCACGTCATCTTGTCATGAAACCAAAATTTCAGAGGGCAAGTGTGTTGGGTGTTGGTGAGGTGCAGAGTGCAGGGCAGACCAATCAAAGAGTTGTGTTAAATCCTGGTGGTGAGACTCTTCCCAGGAGCTCCACTTCTCAATTAGGGAGTCAGAATCTCACCAAGAGCTATACCAGACTCCCTGACAGGTCTAAAATACAGAATAAGTGGAGCAGAATGACATCTAGGACATCAACAGACACCCAAGGTTTTATTCCTTTGAAAGAATCTGTAATATTGAATGAATCTCCTGTGTGCGTTATTGAAGCAAACCTTCCTGTTGAGGAACCTGCAGTGCACGATGAAAGTCCATTGATATTAAGACATTCTGATGATCAAGTCGAAGTAATCGACACACACTTCCATCCTCTGTGCCATGCTGAAACCTCGTCTCGGAGTGGCTTTTTTCTCCCCACCCCGAGGAATTCTCCAGATCGGGATTTTCTTGTTCCTTCTCGCCCTGCCCAGAAAAAGTGGAGATCAACCCAGAAACCAGTAGAATCAGGCACATCAAAATCACGAGCCAAAAAACTCAAGAGAATTGAGGACACAATCAGTATTCCATGTTCAAATCAAATAGCTACCTCAAGATTGAATGAGAGCACTGGAAGCAGTAATGTTCTATTCAAGACAACAGAGACGATTCAGTTTGGTTCATTTCCATCTGGTTGTGACCATTCAAAGCAGATGGATGTTTCGTCCAAAAATCCAGTTTCCAGAAGTCCAAAAACATTGTCTGATAATTCCCCGAAATCCATTTCCTCATCGGACTGTTCTCCACTGCAGCCAAAAGTGATGTTGCAAAATATCAGTAAGTTTTTGTCAACCTCAGAATCAGAGTCTGGCTATTCTGGATGTGTGTCAGCAGATAGCTTAGATTTAGCCCTGGGTAATATGAAGGGTACACTGGACTATGCCTACAACCAAGATCGAAACTGCTACTCGGATACCGACTCTGAGATTATGCTAAACCGTGATAGAAAAAAGAAACATCGTTCCAGAAAGAAATCCGACAAACCCTCTGCTATCAAAGACTCAATTAAACCAAGAACATGTTCAAACAGATTGGACAAGGTGAATGATGGCTTGGCTGGTTCAGAGGATAGGAGGACCATTCTGCCTGAGACAAATCCACAACAGATTCAGGTTTCAAGGGTAGCAGATTTGAATGATTTTGACTCTGATGATGATGGTGAAGGTTGTAACCTGCTTTCTCCAGACAATTTCTCGTTTGGAAGTGAAGGAGACGGCATATTAGATCAGCCACATCAAGTGCCATCTTTTACCCAGAAAGTGAACACCAAGGCCTGTATCCGTTACTCGTCTCACAGACATGCTTCTTCAGAGTCTAGATCTGAAGCAAGTGACTCCAACTCAGATAGCAGAAGGAGAAAAATTAAAAAGCTGTCTGTGAAAAGAGCAGAAGTGCCCAGTGAGTTAGATCCTGTACAGAAGAAGGTGTTGATCAGGGGAACAGATGCTGCTACAACAGGTGATTCTGTTTCCTCACGTGGAAAGAACAATGAAACAGCATGTGTGTCTAAGACGTTAGCCAGAAGTGTCGCTGAGAGAGAACACCTGTCTGAATCCAGCGAGTCTGACACAGCAAGAGAAGTCAGACACAAGAAACAAAGAAAATGTAATGTTTCGAAGGCAGAGTCTGGAGTCAGGACTAGTCTCTGTATCACTGATGAGTCAGAATCACAAGATGAGAAAAAGCAGACGGCACAGACAATCACATTTGCCACCAATACCTACAGTGCTGTTGGTACTAGTGGGTGGAGAATAGGCACATCCTCCCACAGTAGTGATTCTGACATGGGGAAAGGAAAGAAAAATGTGTCTGTAGGTAGATCAAAGCAATGTAAAAGTATCAATCCTGAATTGCAGGATGGAAAGAAGAGCATTGCAAAAACTCACCCAACCACAGTAAGCAGCCATGTTTCAACATCTTCAGCACAAACAGAAATACAGTCAGTTGTTTCTGAAACTAGTGATTCTGATTTCAGTAAAAGAAAAAATAAACAGTTAAATTCTCAGACTTTATTATCAGAATCCAGTGACTCTCCAACCAGAGACAGGAGGAAGATTACCGAAGGAAGGTCTGAAATTAGTCATAAAAAGAAGTTTATGCGGAAAAAGAAAGCTGACGAAGTGGGTGATGCCCAAAAGATTTCTGATACAAATAAGTCTTCGAAAACAGCTCTTGATGAGAACCTGTCTCAGAAAGGAAGTTCCAACCAAATCTGTGTTTCTCCCTGTCAAGAGAAAACCTCTTCCAGCACAGACACTGCAGAGACAGAGGGAGGTAGTGTTGATATGTCAAGTGATGACTGGCTGGTATCTAGTCAAAGCAGTCCATCATCACAGACTGTGTTGGAGAAAACATGGTCAGAAAAACACAAATCACTTAATCCGTCCGTTAATAGGATAAGAGCTAGTAAGACTGCTGTACCAGAGGCAGCGGGTGAGGGCATTAGGACTGTTTCCCGAGTCAATGATCAGATCTTGACCAAGGGATATGCACCCAAAACAGAGCTGTCTCTGTACCCAAAGGCCAGGAGGAAACCATTGCAGCGGATGGCTGTTTCTGAAGGAATAATGTCACAATTTGAACCGTCCATTTCTGTAGTTTCTGATCACAAATCAGGTAGAGTAGAGAGTGTTCCACCAGGGACTCAAGCAGATTCTTTGATAGGTGAAGGACATAACCTTGTCCAAAGAGAGGAATGTGTAATGAAGGGGCATTCCCAGTTTGGAAAGAGTGTGGAGAATGTTAGTGACTCTGATTGGAGATGTAGAGATAACATGCACACAAGTTCAAGTGGGCTATCAACAGAAGGGACGCATCAATCTCAGGCACATGAAACGCCCTTTGCTTCAAGTAAGATGAAAATACCCGCGGAAAGGAAATTATGCTCAAAATCGCCATTGTTACAACAGATGCTGACATCAGAGAATTACAATCTGCAACAGTTAAAAGCAGTTGACCCTTCAGACGATGACGTGGTCAATGCACAGCAATCGTTGACTGGGAGAATGGAAGCTGGAGTCTGTGGTGATGACCTGACTGTGCCCGCCATGAGTTGGGACTCTCCCAGCAGGAGAGTGACCTTGTGCGGACGACCTCCTGCTCCAGTCTCACGGTCAGTGTCTGGTTATTCAGTCTGTGATCAAACTGGGGAGGAAAACCAGCTAGAATCAATACTGGCCCCTTCAAATGGCAGATCTGACAAACACAGAATAACACCTGCCAACCCTGTTTGTCTCTCTGAAACTGAGCCATTGTCCATGGATGATGAAAGTCCAATGCAAAACATTCCAGGATCGGACAGAACAATGAGCATCTTTTCAGAGACTGATAGTGATACAGGCTCATCTTTTTTAGCTATGAGTAAGTGTGGATCTAAAGATCCTCTGAGACTGTCCACTTCCTTGTGGAAAAAAGTTGTGCCAAAGAGACCAAGAGGCAGACCCAGAAAAGTCCAAACTCAGGACCTCTGCCCTCCTCAGCCTCAAGTGGTAGTTCCTGCTGATTTATGCATTCCCTTGTACCGTGATGTAAGGAACAACATTGTATGGCGGCCAGAGTACAACAATGCCTGTCACCAAGGTGCCTTTCCTCTTGTTGTGATGCCACTGCACAACTTTGAACGTCGGGCCTACCACATGAAAGACCTTGAGGATTTAGGCATTGTCAGTAAGGATATCAAAATCACCAAACCATCAACATCAGTGGACCTGACTCTGCAACAAACAGTTGACAAACATATTGTACCATCGTCATCAGTGGACCGGAATCTGCTACAAACAGTTGACAAACATATTGTACCGTCGTCATCAGTGGACCTGACTCTGCAACAAACAGTTGGCAAACATATTGTTGTGCATGAAACATTGGGTGGAGATAAAGGTATTGATGAGGGTTATGGTTGCAACAGGAAGGGCTTTCCACAGCCAACAACGAGTGAAGCTCCAGCTTTGGGAAGCCCTTCCTGTACAGAGAAACAGATTGGTCATCTGTCATCACCTCGAGGACCAGTAGAAGTATCTACAAACAGTTCAGATGTTGTACATGTTGTGCCAGAAAATCTGGGTGAATGTGTCGACTTTTTGAATACGGTTGAGATGAATACAACAGAGATGGAGACTGGATGTGACATCATTGGTTCATCAGAACATGAAAGGTCATTCTCTCAGTTTCAGACCAGTGAAGTAGATAGGAACAAAGAATACTTTATCTGGCCTAAGGAACAATCGGTTGAGATGAGAACGGAAAATGATCCAGTGAACATTTCCTCCACCATGTTGATGCTTCATGAGATTGTTGATGATCTGCTGCCATTGAGTGTTCGAAGGAACGAAGGCCAGTCTCCAGTGAGTGAGCTCAGCAGTGCCACCTCCAGCAAGTCTGTGTTTGACAAGGATGTGTTTGACTGTGAAGTGTCTCTAGATGACTCGGTCAAAACTGATGATTTGTGTAATGAAGGAATTGCTATTGTCAACCATCTTGTTCGCGAGTTCCTCCCGATTCCTGACACTGTGCTTGAAAAAGACAACATAGCTGACAAAGCTGTAGAGACGTCTGTGAAGAAGATTAAGACAGTGTGTTCAAGCCTTTCAAAAATTCTTCACACAGGCTCTAAGTCATTACAGATTGACTCGTCTCCAGACAGTGGTCCAGACCATGTTCCAAACACATCACAGACTGGCCTATGTGTGCCCATTTCAGACGCTGGTGACCAATCCGTCCACAATGTTCAGAACAAATCAAAACCTGCCACATGTGCTTTTACTTCTGAAGCTAATAAAAATTATTCAGATAATGTACAGGATACATCAAGCCCTTGCATATTTGCCTCTATTTCAAAAGCTGATGACCAAACTCGAGACAAGATCCAGGACTCCTCTATTTCTAGTGTTCCAGTGTCAATACAGTTAACTGGATTGGATTTATCTGCACTATTAGAAAACAATAACCCTGATGAATCACCATGTGACTTTACCCACAAGGAGATTTGTCCAGATATGCAAGCACCTTCTGCTTTTCAAGTAATTAGTAAACAGTGTCACAACAAAAACCAAGAAAGGAATGCCAAAGATAGCATCAAATTTAGAGATGATGCTGAGTATTCGGCTGAACTTGTGATTATGGGAAACATGCCTGTTGATTCACACAGGAGGGATATTAGTGAATGCACTGCAGATGCAGAGCATGGAATGGCTAAGGACTCTATGCATTTTTCAGGTAGCAAAGTAGGTACAGACACTGACAAGATTCTAGACTGTAGACGTGTAGTCAGTGATGGGGATACATTATGTGTGCAGTTAGATGTACACAATCACATGCTTAACACGGACTCGGTTACGTGTGAGGACACAGAAAAATGTGAATTCACTGGAGGCATATCAAATGAAACCAACCTGGACAATGGACTTGGGGTCTGTGCTGGTAAAGCTGTAGTAAAGACAAGTCATGTAGAGGATCGTGAAGGTAGTGACAGACTAGGGTTCCTGCACAGTGGACATGGCGTCCGTGCTGGTGAAGCTGTAGTAAATACAAATCATGTAGAGGATCGTGAAGGCAGTGACAGACTAGGGTTCCTGCACAGTGGACATGGCGTCCGTGCTGGTGATGCTGTAGTAAATACAAGTCATGTAGAGGATCGTGAAGGCACTGACAGACTAGGGTTCCTGCACAGTGGACATGGCGTCCGTGCTGGTGATGCTGTAGTAAATACAGATCATGTAGAGGATCGTGAAGGCACTGACAGACTAGGGTTCCTGCACAGTGGACATGGCGTCCGTGCTGGTGAAGCTGTCGTAAATACAAATCATGTAGAGGATCGTGAAGGCACTGACAGACTAGGGTGCCTGCTCAGTGGACATGGGGTCTGTGCTGGTGATGCTGTATTAAACACAAATCATGTAGAGGATCGTGAAGGCACTGACAGACTAAGGTGTGTTGACAAGTCCCAAATTGACGCTCAGGCTGTGAGGCTTGGTGTAAGTGGGAGTGATCTTCAGCCAAGACTTATACTTTTCTGTTTGTCAATGAAAAGATTTATGAAGTTTGGCAGGCATAAGTACAGGAGAATAGGCGGGAAGAGGTCGCAGACATGGAAGGTGAGGTTAAAACGGAAATATAGAAAGAAGCAGAAGAGCAATGTGAACCACAGCTTCTCCATCCATCCAGAACATTCAAAGAAATACTCCATAAAACATCATTGTGGACCTGATTTAAGCATGTCAGAGAGGAGTACATGTTCAGACTTACATTCTAACCTCAACATTCCTCAAGCAAATGAAAGTGAACATTTTGACAGTGGGTCTAAGATAAGTCAAACAATCCAAGAAAGACCCCAAACACCAGTGTCCCGAGGCCAATCAGATGTCACAGATTTTGGTTTGGCTATCAGTACACCGAAAGAAAAGAACAAGAGGAAACCGAAAAAGGATACATGTGTTTCAAGAAAGGGCTCTGGGGTTTCTCAGAAACAAGGCGTAAGTCTGACCAAGCCTCACCATGACCTTGAGACTATGACACACAGGACCATGCCAGAGTCGAAACTAGCTCAGAGTATTCTGAAGAAAGAGGAAGAACGGAGGAAGAGAGCTGCTGCTGCTAGCCAGCACACTTATCTAGACCTACCTGCTCTTGTGCCTTTTGAACAGATCATGGTGCACACAGATCAGACTGCTTGCAGTGAGAAGGAAGGAGCGCCATCAACTTCAGTGTCCTCTGTTATGTCATTGGGAGAATCTGCCAATCTTTTCAGCCCACCGAGGTTGTCGAAGCTCAAAAAGATTCGAAAGAAAGCAGGAAGCAGATCTTCTGAGGACGACATGACTGCGAGATCACCGCTGGAACGTTCCTATGAAATGTGGTCTACTTCTAAATATGACACAGGGAAGAGAACCTCTGGGATAATGAATTCAAGTTTCACAGACAAACAATTTACATTTGGATCCTCAGTTTTTGACAGCCCCACATTCCATCAGGAAGTGACAAGTCCTGTTAGACCTGCGGTGAGCAAGGAACGACCAGGAACAGAAAGTGTCAAAGAAAGCCTTCTATGTATGCTGGAAGGTACTGGTGCGTTATGTGGGGAGTCCCCAAGTAGCTCTTGCTCAAACTCGTCTAGAAGGAAAGTCAGTGTGACAATCTCCCCAATAATTGATACTGCAGCGCCTGCTAAGAAAGCAAGAGAAATATTGTCTCCAAAGGGCATACTAAAGAGTCCAGTCAGTGCCTTTGTTCCTAAGGGGTTCTATAAAGACACCATGCAGTCAGATGTGGAGACTGAAGGGGTGGAGTCCATGGTAAAATCAGCTTTAGGGGAGGTTCAGTACTCACTTCCAGACATTGATGATGAATCTGAGGCGGAGAAGGTTACGTTCCTTGTAAGTCCCTCCAGCCCAGATGAGGCCACCCTGGCTGTCAAGGATATGGAACCAGAAAGTGAGGCAGTGGAAGTCAATACCGGTGAAAGTGTCCAGGCTGCTGGTGATGGGGCTGATGAGTCATCCAGAGCAGAAGTGGATGAAAGTAATTTGCTCTCAAACCTTGACTATTTTGACAACACAGATTTATCAGCTATGGAGAAGACTGTAGGGTTTATTGACAATCTCTTGTCTTCTGACATCCCCTCGCCGAGAAACCAGATGAGAAAAAGTAACGATTTTTCTGAAGATGATGACCTTGAATCTAAAGATCAAGAACCAGACAAGGTAACAATGGGGGAGGATACGTTGATGCAAAACACGGACAAAAGTGTGGCATCTGAACCAAATGGTGAACAGAGATCTAAAGAACCCGATGATGGTAATCCTGATGCCCCACGGATACTGGAGAACAGTCATGGTGAATGTGCTTATGCTTCATTGGATGAAAAACATGATTCAGACAGTGATGGGGAAAGTGAAGCAGGGGCAGACAGCTGTCCAAGACAGACGTCTGAGGAGAAGGACCCAGACTCAAAATCTGTTGAGTCTCTACCAAGCCAAGATGAAATCTCTGAGAAATCTGAAGAGGAGTCAGATCAAGAGGAGTCTGATGCAGAAGACAGTGTCAAGCCCAAACCGTCAGATGAAGATGGAAACTCGGATGCGGACTCGGATGTCTCGGGGATGTCTCTCCATGCACCTTCTGAAGCTTCCTTCCTCAGTGAGGAGGAGGAGGACAGACTATCTCCGACAACAACAGAAAACAGGTTTGTGAACCTTTGGAGTTCATTGTATCAAAAACTCTGTGGGCATTAGAATTGGTCTTATTAGGTGACAAGATGGACCGGGCGGTAGGACTGGGACAGGTAACTCGGGTACTTGGGTTGGGTGGGTCCTGAGTAGGGCAGGACTGCCCGGACCCATGGTTAGTCACATGATATATTGTTAAATGAAAAAACTCACTAAAGCTCAGTGGTTACACTACAAGTCACTAATGTTCGCATTTCTTTCTCACGATGCACACATTCCTTTTGACTTGTATATGTTTGAGTAAAGATAAACCTTCAGTCAACTTCAGTATATGCATGATCTGATTGTTTGATACATGTATCTAAATGATTTTGGCCAGGGCTGAGGAAAAACTATTCCCTATCAGACATTGTGTCCCCAACTCTTGAGACCTACAGTGGGCACCTGGGTATGGTCGGGTAATAGGGGGGTCGGGTACCCGGGTAGTAAATTTGGACTCGTCCCAGCCTGAAGCCAGGTCTGTCTCGGTTGTTTAATTACTTGTCATCATACACCAAGGGCATGGGTCGTTGTTCATAATATCAATCACTGATTTGTCTGGACCAGACTTTATTATTTACTGGCAGCTTTTCAGTGCTGTATTAGACGACCAAAAAAATAGATTTAGACAGATGCAACAAGTATGTATTCTCTCTTATGTGCTTCTCCATGCATCATTCTAGCTGTAAGGGGGCATGGGTGGCCCAGTCGTCTGGCCAGATTCGCTGAGTTGCGTCCCTTGGGCACGCCAGAAACCTATGATTGTGGGTTTGAATCCCTGTTCGCCCCGATTATGTTTCTAGGTATGTCAGCACCATACCCGTGCTCATGGGTTTCACCGAAGTGGTAAACATCTGAGACCTGCATCACTTCAGGCTTTCCTCCCACATTAAGCTGATACGTCGTGATATAACTGGAATACTGTTAAAAGCGACCTTAAACCCAACTCACTCACTCACTAGTGCAGCATTAAACAACAGTGGAAGAAAGAATTGTCAGTTGTGTGATTGGGTGTGATTGTGTGTGACTGGATATATGTGTCCTTACCTCTCTGTTTACTGAACGCGATCCTGTTAGTTGCCTCTTACGACAAGCATGGGTTGTTGGAGACCAATTCTAGCCCGGATGTTCCCGGGAGGGGGGAAAGTGTGTGTGTGTGTGTGGCTGATTGTATGAAACAACTGAATGTCATCCGGTGTGTGTCAGGTTCTGTGACGTGATTGATTGTGTGTCATGCACTGGTGGCATTGCTTGTAGTTTTAGTCTCTGGTTTGTCTGTTTTAGACTCATTTATTTAAACACTGCCATCATATAGCATACATATGTATTGCCAAGTGCGGCTTTATACAACAAACAAACACACAGCATTGAATAGATAATGCTAAACTCAAAATCTAAGCATAATTTTCCAATGTGTTAACATTGCTGCATATTTGAATCATAGATTTGCAGACTTTGGCCTTATTTCTAGTAGATGTGAAGCGATACTACAAGGTCGTGATATGATATGTATCACGATACATAGGTCAAGATACAATACGTATCACGATATGCATATTTACTTCAAATCGCTAGCAAAATTCTTGACAATAGATATTTCTGAGCAGGTTAAAAAAGAAAAGCTAACTTTAGACACATGCTGTAGCGGTATCGTGTATTATATCGTCACATCGTCAGTGCACCGATGTATCGTTTCACCCCTAATTTCTAGCCTTTTAATTCATGATGGTTCACTTCAAAAACATTAGTCATTTTGACAGGTCTTGTATTTGGCAGCTCAAGTTTTGTGTTAACCATGTATTATGCCAGGGTCCTTCCGGATGTTTCAGCACCAGGGAAGAACTGAAGGACAATGAAGATTTTAAGTTCCAGGAGGACCTCGAGCTCCAGGACAATCATGATGAGGAAGATATGGACCTGTCTAGTGGGTGCAGCATCCAGTCAGGACCTCAGGTTGGTCTCGTCTGTCTTCAGAGTCTATTGGAACGGTGGGGTAGCCTGGTAGTTACTTGTCTCAGGCCAGGGTTTAATTCCCAACATGGATGTAATGAATGATGCTCATTTCTCCACTGTGATATTACAGCAATTTTGTGAAAATACTCATTCACTGTCACAGGTCCCGTCTTCTGTTCTTACACTGAAGTGTGAATGGTAGATGTATGCTATCATCATGTGCCCCAATCCTCAAGTGTCTGTGGTAGATGTGAGCTATCACCTTGTGCCCCTATTCTCAAGTGTCTCTGGTAGATGTGAGCTATCACCTTGTGCCCCTATTCTCAAGTGTCTGTGGTAGATGTGGGTTATCACATTGTGCCCCTATTCTCAAGTGTCTGTGGTAGATGTGAGTTATCACCTTGTGCCCCTATTCTCAAGTGTCCATGTCCGATGTAAACAATCATCTTGTGCCCCCCTCCTCAAGTGTCCATGTCCGATGTAAACAATCAATTTGTGCCCCCATCCCCAAGTGTCTGTGGTAGATGTGAGTTATCACCTTGTGACCCTATTCTCAAGTGTCATTGTCCGATGTAAATAATCAATTTGTTCCCAAATCACCAAGTGTCCGTGTCCGATGTAAGCCATCATCTTGTGCCCCCATTCTCAAGTGTCCGTGTCCGATGTAAGCCATCATCTTGTGCCCCCATCCTCAAGTGTCCGTGTCCGATGTAAGCCATCATCTTGTGCCCCCATTCTCAAGTGTCCGTTTCCATGGTCCGATGTAAGCCATCATCTTGTGCCCCCATCCTCATATGTCCGTGTCCGATGTAAGCCATCATCTTGTGCCCCCATTCTCAAGTGTCCGTATCTGATGTAAGCCATCATCTTGTGCCCCCATCCTCAGGTGTCCATGTTCAATGTAAGCCATCATCTTGTGCCCCCATCCTCAAGTGTCCGTGTCCGATGTAAGCCATCATCTTGTGCCCCAATCCTCAGGTGTCCATGTTCAATGTAAGCCATCATCTTGTGCCCCCATCCTCAGGTGTCCATGTTCAATGTAAGCCATCATCTTGTGCCCCCATCCTCAGGTGTCCATGTTCAATGTAAGCCATCATCTTGTGCCCCCATCCTCAAGTGTCCGTGTCCATGGTCCGATGTAAGCCATCATCTTGTGCCCCCATCCTCAAGTGTCCGTGTCCAATGTAAGCCATCATCTTGTGCCCCCATCCTCATGTGTCCGTGTCCGATGTAAGCCATCATCTTGTGCCCCCATCCTCATGTGTCCGTGTCCGATGTAAGCCATCATCTTGTGCCCCCATCCTCAAGTGTCCGTGTCCGATGTAAGCCATCATCTTGTGCCCCCATCCTCAAGTGTCCGTGTCCGATGTAAGCCATCATCTTGTGCCCCCATCCTCATGTGTCCGTGTCCGATGTAAGCCATCATCTTGTGCGCCCATCCTCAAGTGTCCGTGTCCGATGTAAGCCATCATCTTGTGCCCCCATCCTCAAGTGTCCGTGTCCGATGTAAGCCATCATCTTGTGCCCCCATCCTCAAGTGTCCGTGTCCAATGTAAGCCATCATCTTGTGCCCCCATTCTCAAGTGTCCGTGTCCGATGTAAGCCATCATCTTGTGCCCCCATCCTCAAGTGTCCGTGTCCAATGTAAGCCATCATCTTGTGCCCCCATCCTCATGTGTCCGTGTCCGATGTAAGCCATCATCTTGTGCCCCCATCCTCATGTGTCCGTGTCCGATGTAAGCCATCATCTTGTGCCCCCATCCTCAAGTGTCCGTGTCCGATGTAAGCCATCATCTTGTGCCCCCATTCTCAAGTGTCCGTGTCCGATGTAAGCCATCATCTTGTGCGCCCATCCTCAAGTGTCCGTGTCCGATGTAAGCCATCATCTTGTGCCCCCATTCTCAAGTGTCCGTGTCCGATGTAAGCCATCATCTTGTGCCCCCATCCTCAAGTGTCCGTGTCCGATGTAAACCATCATCTTGTGCCCCCATCCTCAGGTGTCCGTGTCCGATGTAAGCCATCATCTTGTGCCCCCATCCTCAAGTGTCTGTGTCCAATGTAAGCCATCATCTTGTGCCCCCATCCTCAAGTGTCCGTGTCCGATGTAAGCCATCATCTTGTGCCCCCATCCTCATGTGTCCGTGTCCGATGTAAGCCATCATCTTGTGCCCCCATCCTCATGTGTCCGTGTCCGATGTAAGCCATCATCTTGTGCCCCCATCCTCAAGTGTCCGTGTCCGATGTAAGCCATCATCTTGTGCCCCCATTCTCAAGTGTCCGTTTCCATGGTCCGATGTAAGCCATCATCTTGTGCCCCCATCCTCATATGTCCGTGTCCGATGTAAGCCATCATCTTGTGCCCCCATTCTCAAGTGTCCGTATCTGATGTAAGCCATCATCTTGTGCCCCCATCCTCAGGTGTCCATGTTCAATGTAAGCCATCATCTTGTGCCCCCATCCTCAAGTGTCCGTGTCCGATGTAAGCCATCATCTTGTGCCCCCATTCTCAAGTGACCATGTTCGATGTAAGCCATCATCTTGTGCCCCCATCCTCAGGTGTCCGTGTCCGATGTAAGCCATCATCTTGTGCCCCCATTCTCAAGTGACCATGTTCGATGTAAGCCATCATCTTGTGCCCCCATCCTCAGGTGTCCGTGTCCAATGTAAGCCATCATCTTGTGCCCCCATTCTCAAGTGTCCGTGTCCGATGTAAGCCATCATCTTGTGCCCCCACCCTCAAGTGTCCGTGTCCATGGTCCGATGTAAGCCATCATCTTGTGCCCCCATCCTCAAGTGTCTGTGTCCGATGTAAGCCATCATCTTGTGCCCCCATCCTCAAGTGTCCGTGTCCGATGTAAGCCATCATCTCGTGCCCCCATCCTCAGGTGCCCGTGTCTGATGTAAGCCATCATCGTGTTCCCCTTACCACTGCTAACCCATCTCAGTTCCAGTAGCAGCAGTATAGGTGTTTGTACTCTGACATGTATTAATTGTTTAGCGAACGTTTAGGTGACGCACTGATTTCCTTTACCTGAAGTTTTATTGTTGTTCAAATGACAAGATGTGTTTGTCCTCAGCCTGAGCCTGCTATCCCCCCTCAAGTCGTCCAGGCTCTGGGCGTGCCAGAAGGATACTGCGTCAACTTTGTCAGAAACAGCAGATGTAAACACAGTCCATGCAAGTACAAGCATGGACAGCCTTCTAAGGTAAGTGCAACCCTTGAAGATCCAGGGTAGAATAGGTCTTCAGCAACCAATGCTTGCCGTTAATGGCAACTATGTTTGTCGTAAGAGGCAACTGACAGGGTCAGATGGTCAGGCTCGCAGACTTGGTTGATGCATGTTATGGTATCCCAATTGCGTAGATCGATGCTCATGATGTCAATCACTTGATTGTCTAGTCCAGACTTGATTATTTACAGACCGCTGTCATATAGCTGGAATATTGCTGAATGTGGCGTAAAACAACAAATAAACAAACAATCAAATGAGATGCACTTACACAAATGATGCAGTGATGAGATGCACGTTACATTAATGACACTTTGATGTAGGTAGCATGGGTAAAGTACCAGTTTACCTGTTCACAAAGAAATCAAACCCTATACCATGCGCACACTAATGTTTAGTGACACACTTAGTGTCAACTTGTAAGCGAGGGAGGGAGTTTGATTTTACGCCACTTTAAGCAGTATTCCAGCATTATCACAGTGGGGGACACCAGAAATGGGCTTCTCACATTGTACCCATGCCGAGAATCGAACCCTGGTCTTCGGCATGGCGACCGAACGCTTTAACCATAGGCTACCCGACCGACCCTCACCTTGTTAATATAGTGGATAGAAATGTACTGATCTTACCTGTTACTAACTGTCAATATGTTGTTACATTTCAGGAAGTTATGATCTCCATGGTATTCAAAGACCTCCAACACCTCATGTCAACAAACATGCACCATCAGTAAGTGGGAGTTAATGCTTAGTTTCTATGGTGACATTCAACTTACTAGTACTTGTGAAGATGTAGGTTAGAATAGGTCTTCAGCAACCCAGGCTTGTCGGAAGGGGCGACTGTGCTTGTCTTAAGAGGTGACTAACAGGATCGGGTGGTCAGGCTCGCTGACTTGGTTGATGCATGTATCATCCCAATTGGATAGATTCATGATAATGATGTCAGTCACTTGATTGTCTTGTTCCGACTCAGTTATTTGCAGACCACCATAATATAGCTGGAATATTGCTGAGTGCGGCATTAAACAACAAACAAACTTTATTAGGTGATCATTTTGATTACCAATGCAACCTGGAATCCCAGGTTCTGCTTTATCCTCAGCAACTTATGCATGTCGTAAGGGGCATGAATCATTGCTCATATTTCCAATGACTTGTTGGATTCAGACTGGCGTGTTTACAGGCAGATGTCATACAGCTAGAATATTGCTGTTAAACAAACACATCAAATATTTGTGACTTTGAACTTAAGTGCATGTTATTATTTTAGAAATAAACAACGAGTAGGACTTGTTTATCGTACAATAAAACACTGCAGGGAGAATAAACCATCAGGGATGCCCCCCGAGTGGTTTATTTTCCTGCAGTGGTTTATTGTACGATAAACAACAACCACAAGTCGTTTACATCTTATATGAGATTTCAATATCATGTACAGCCTCTTTAAGCTTTATAAATATGTACCGGTAACCATATTTAAATAATGATGACTCCCTGAATAGAATCCCACCTCGGCAATGTCGGACAAGTCCATCTCATGAACGGGGGGGGGGGGTAAATTTGATCTTTCCCGCATATTCTTGCAATTTTTACGTGGATTATCTGTACCTTTTCTTCCAATACTGATTGTCATCGCTCTCCCACTTCTGGATGTGATCGTATGGCCATTGTGGTTATAAACAATGTCCAGCTACTTCTATGGAGAACAACTCACTTGGCACTACCCTCTCAAAAGAATATCGTCCAATTTATGATTTAGTACATGTTCGAATCTTCAGAAATGATGTCATGATAGAACATGAAATAAACCACACTTCATTCATCATTGTTCTTTGCGATTTATCGCGTAGCTATCTTATTTACATTTATATACCACACTTGTTAAGATACTACTATCTGCTCAAATGCAGTTGATTTTTTCCCTGACTATTGAATCCATATGCATTCCAGTTATCATTCTCAACTCCTTTGGGAGTATACAACCCAAGCTGCCTATAGGCCCAAGAGGTTTTTATTTCCGCCTCACATACCAGGTTCCCAATCCCCCCTAGGTGAACAGAGGCACATTTGAACCAAGTCACTTACTGAGAATGACACCGCACGTTTTGACACTTGTGTTTTGGGTGTTGAACGTATTCATGTTTTTACCATCTAGTCATGTTGCAAAGGGCAGCAGTGGAATAATAGGTATGAACTTGCCAATCAGTAATAAAAAATTATATGATTTCTCCTTTTTCTGTTCCCCAGTGTTCTGTATATCAAGTTTATATGGACATTCCGATTGCTCTGATATTGACCCAACTGATAATGATGCTTATGTGCATCTAAAGAGTATAACCTAAGATAAGTATCCCTAACAACAGTTGAATAGTATACTACAATAACTTGTTTGTTTTGCAGCATGTTTGCCAAGTTTCACATCCTGGCTAGGTACTGTGGCGGTGATGTTGCGATCTGTGGCGAGGTGTTGCAGTGCATGCTTCGCTGGGCGATGCAGACAGGGACCTATTCCCAGATTGACTACCTACTGTCATTCGCAACAAAGGACCCAAACCTCCTCCTGTAAGTCTTTCAATATTACAGAATATTTCACCTTGATAATAACTTGTCACAAAATCCCACTATCTACCGTAGGAATTAAACATTTATGAATATGATGATGGTATATCGCTTAATCTGTTGGAGTAGCCCATTGAAACCTCACATATACTGAACAAAAAAGTTAGGGATCATAAATATGTCTTCACTACAAAACGATACCCCCCAAATATGCATGATGCCTTATTCATTTTCTTCAGTGTATCACAATATGTTGCTGAATGTATCCCAACAATGATGACACCCAATTTGTTCAAGAGGTTCGAATCCAATTTCATTATGGCCACAATAGCAGCCATATTAAAAAACCTCTTCGTCACAATATGGCTGAAAAATTGCCGATGTGACGTTAAACTTTAACTCACTCACTCATTCAAAAACCTCTCTATAGCCATTACCCACCTTTAGTGTTCAAAATGTAATTGGGGGCACGAGTGACCCAGTCGTCTAAGGCGCCATGATTTGCTGTGCAGAATTGCATCCCTTGGGCATGCCAGAAACCTATGATTGTGGGTTGGAATCCTGGTTCGCCCCGATTATGTTTCTAGGTTTGTCAGCACCATACCTGTACTCGAGGGTTGCACCGAAGTGGTAAACGTCTGAGACCTGCATCACTTCGGGCTTTCCTCCCACATTAAGCTGACACGCCGTGATATAACTGGAATACTGTTAAAAGCAGCGTTAAACCAAACTCACTCATTCACTCACTCACTCTAAGATGTGTATACATGGATGTTGTGTGGCAATACCATTCACAGAAGATCTTCCATTACTTCTGATTGCATGGACTTATGTGCAAAAAGTGGGAATATGTGAAAAAATTGTGCCTCGTGTTATTTCTTTGATTAGTTGTGAAGCTAGTAGTACATATTTTCAGATATGCAAGGGAAGCAATCCAGGTGATGGTGCAGGTGATGCAGAACCCACTGAAGGAAGATGTAAAGCCAGCATGTTTTCACGCAGTCTCCGGAATCTTCAACCGGACGTGTAGCCGAGGGTTAATCCTTAGCCCTGATTGTCTCACACAGCTGCTACAGTAAGATAGACAAAGTATTGTACAGTGTGGGGACTTGGGTACAGAATAGCTCCGAGTTCCTCATGCTTGTTCAGGGATTTATCTGGACCTGCTCAATGGCCCTCATTTAGGGCCAAGTCTGCAGCAACTATTATTAAAAATTCCCAAATTGGAATTATTTTTTTCCCAATGTAATAACAAATCAATAATTTCATAGCTTTGCAGAGTTAACCCAGACTTCACTGACAACCGGACCAATATGGATTGAGTGAGTGTGTTGGGTTTAACGCCGCTTTGAACAGTATTACAGTTATTTCGCAGCATGTCAACTTAATGTTGGAGGAAAGCCCGAAGTGATGCAGGTCTCGGACGTTATATAGCTGGAATATTGCTTAGTGCGGCGTTAACCTAAAAACAAACAAACAAACTTGTATCAGTTTTCCAGCAGTATCATAGAGGGGACACCAGAATTGGGCAAACAACATTATACCGTTATGGGGAATCAAACCTTGACACCAACATGGCTAGTGAACTTTAACCACTAGGCTATCCCAACTCCTAATTCAATTTTGAAGAGACCCGTGAAGATTCCGGGGTAGAATAGGTCTTCAGCAACCCATGCTTGCCGTAAAAGGTGACTATGCTTGTCATAAAAAGGCGAATAACAGGATCGGGTGGTCAGGCTCGCTGACTTGGTTGATACATGTCATTGATCCCAATTGCGCGGATCGATGCTCATGATGTCAATCGCTGGATTGTCTGGTCCAGACTCGATTATTTACAGACCACTGTCATAAAGCTGGAATATTGCTGAGTGCGGCGTTAAACAACAAACAAACAAACAAAATCAATTTTGAAGAAGGGTCCTACCACGTGTATGATTTGCGTACTCAATATGTATCCTCCTATTTTCAGATTGTCACTGCAGACATTGATGCTTCAAGATGTAGTCATCTATTGTCAGCAGCAGAAGCATGCAGTGCCCTCGAGCATCATGCAAGTTGCTCTCCTCTCTCAGCTGCACGACGTCACATTCCGGGAAAAGGCGGAGTTGATACTTCAGATCATGTCGGAAAAGTCAATGAAGGCTCTGGGGCTTGAGGTGAGCAAATTGTTTACTTTGATTGGATACCTCTGAGTGATGATCTCACCATCCAACATGTGGAGGTCATGTCAGGAGCACTTTCCAATCTCAAATCGCTGTGTTAGCTGGAAAATTGCTGATACGTCATAAAGCAATATCATTCATTCATTTATTCATTGAATCTAATCTCAAACTTGATTAGGCCAAAAGAAATAATAATAACCGCCTGCATTATCCATGTTTTATTTTTTTGCGTCTTTCTTAATCCATGTGCGTATTGGATGCAATAGATTGCCTCCAGTAAGACCCTGTAACTGGAATATACAGGGTGAGAATCTTCCGTTGATCCACAAATTTAGTGACCTCAAATTTGTTCAAATCTGGTGGCTTCCCAAATTATGGATCACGCTCCATTGAAAAAAAAGGTTTCAGCTGAAAAGGAAAATATCCATTCTCATCCCTGAATATAGCAGACTGCAACAATAGAAACATTCACTCATTGTTGCGTGAGCTGTTGATTACTGAACACTTCCGTCACACTGTTAATCCTATTTGTTTAGATCATAGAGAAATTGTCAACAGTCCCTTGGTCCCCTGAGAGGGAGACGCAGCATAAAGTCATGCGAGTCTACCATACCATGACTGTGGAACCTGCGCAGGTGAGTCGGACTAACCTTTTCTTGAACGCAACTCACCCACAATGGTTGAATAGTCAGAAGGAAGACAGTTTGTGAATAGGCGGGAGGGGATGTTTGTATTTAGTGACAGCTTTTCTCATTTCTAATGATCAGTCCTGATGGTGTTATTATCAACTCACTGTGTCCTTTCTTTTGATTATGGGGGCCGGGGGGTAGCCTAGTGGTTAAAGTGTTCGCTTGTCATGTCGAAGACCCGGGTTTGATTCCCAACATGGCTATACCGACGTGATATTGCTGGAATATTGCTTAATGCAGCGTAAATCCATACTCACTCACTCTTTTGATTATGAATAACTAATACATTGTCATTACAATGCCAATATATTTAGACAGATGGACAATATTTGCATGTGAAAGACAGGAGATAACAAGGGAATAAGGGAAACAATGACTTAATATGTGAGGGGGCACTGGTGGCCCAGTCTTCTAAGGCACCGCAATTTGTTGTGAAGAGTTGCGTCCCTTTAGTATAGCAGAAACTGATGATCTTGGATTTGAATCCCAGTTCGCCCCATTTATGTTTCTTGGTTTGTCAGAACCATACCTGTGCTCATATGTAAACCTGTCAGAGACCTGCATCACTTCGAGCTTTCCTCCCTCCATAAGCTTACAAGCCTTGATATAACTGGAATACTGTTCAAAGCAGCATTAATCCCATCTCACTCACTTAATAAGTTGGGGCGGTCGGGTAGCCTAGTGGTTAAAGCGTTCGCTCGTCACGCCGAAGACCCGGGTTCGATTCCTGACATGGGTACAATGTGTGAAGCCAAATCCTGGTGTCCCCCGCCGTGATATTGCTGGAATATTGCTAAAAGCGGCGTAAAACCATACTCACTCCCCCAATCACTCACACTTAATGAGTTTGCAAGAACTTGTTCCAGGAAGAAGTTGCCATCCATACAAAGTCTCCTGTGTTCTTGTTCCAGGATCTGGATCTGTATGAGGAGGATGAAGAGCAGGAGGAAGTACAGACAGACAGTGAAGACTACCGAGGAATATACCACAGGATTGCCGTAAGTTGGCCTCTTGCAGTGACTCGAGCTAGCTTGTTTAGCATGGTGGGTCTGTCTTCCCCCTAACTCATTTCTAGGGCGGTCGGGTAGCTCAGGGGTTAGAGCGTTTGTTCAACATGCCAAATGCCCAGGTTCGATTCCCCGCATGGGTACAATGTGTGAACCTCATTCCTAGAGTACCGACACTTGAAGATCCGGGGTAGAATTGATCTTCAGCAACCCATGCATAAAAGATGACTGTCCTTGTTGTAGGAGGTGACTAACGGAATCAGATGGTCAGACTCACTGACTTGGTTGATGAATGTCATTATATCCCAATTGTGTGGATAGATGCTCAATTGCTCATGATGTCAATCACTGGATTGTCTGGTCCGGACTGTATTTGTTACAGACTGCGTCATAAAGCTGGAATATTGCTGTGTGCGGTGTTAAAGATCAAACAGAAACAGTACCCCCTTCCCCAAATGAAAAAGTTGGAAGTTTGTAAAGTTTGTTGTTTGTTTTTTCAGGGATGTAGGCAGTCCATGAACTGGAAGTACCTCGCCCGAATCTACTTGTTGCAGTGCACTTCTGACGCCCTTCCTAATTCCAAGTTCCTGAGGGTCTATGTTGATGTCCTTCATGATAAACAGGACTCCCTCAAGACCGCCATTTACTTTCATGCTTTCCTTAATAACGTGTTCAACAAATACCAAAAAGGTGTGTCATTATTTTGCTCATCGAATCGATATTGTCATTGGCAACTCCAGGTCAGAGGTTGCCTGGATATGGTCTGACAAGACAGGGTCACTATCAAGTGAGGGGGTGTAGGGTAGCCTGGTGGTGAAAATGTTAGCTCGTTAGTCTGATGATCCATGTTCAGTTCCCACATTGAAGCAATCTGTCTGCCATTTTTGGGGCCCTTCCATGATTATCATGACACCAGCATAAGAGCTCCTTCACAAAATCATGCCTCACATACACGTCCATTCCAACATTGATTTTATTCTTCAGGCACAAGTCAAGGGTGATACAAATTGCATACTTGTCTCCCCTGGATCTCTGTTTGAATCCAATAATCGCCTCAGTTAAGGTCTGGTTAATTCAAGAATATTTGAAATTTCTATGACCTTCTAAGCTTAAGATTTTCGTACCACTTTGACAAAAACATTCTCACTGATTCCTTAAAACTGCAGAACTTCTAACCATGTGTATATGTGTGTAACTATAAACTGCTTATTCCCCAGAGATCACGAAGGATGCTCTGCTGTCATTAGACAGAAGGACATTAGCCCGCATAGGGTTTCACCTGCTAGTTCGTACATTCAAGTCCCCTCCGTATGGCCAGTGCTGCACCCTGGTGGCTGATCTCCTAGACAACCGTCTCCCCTGCAAGAACCTCCAGCCCGAGATGGGCTACACCTTCCATTCCACCGTGGTTGAGGTGTGCCTCCAGATGTCCCAGCTGGAGCGACTGCTTCAGTTCATACAAGGTGACTTGGTCAAACAATAACGTTTTCCGTTCAAGGTCAAGGTCACCAAATGTCATAATAAACTTTACGTTTATTGGTTTTAAAAAGAGAGAGAGAGAGAGAGAGAGATTTTTAACTGAACCTGAAATAATTGAAGAAGTGTTCTTGTTGTTCAGACTGGTCACTTCCATTTTACAATTTAAGATTCAAAATTTGAAAACTGAACAAAAGAAAATTCTAGAATGTCCAATAGATGGCCGAGATTATATGGCAAAACTTCCCTTGGGCTGTGGAAAGTTTCAAATGTTTTACTCATTGAAGCGAGGGATGGAAGACAATTCGGACGAAATCAGTCGTACAGGCTGTAACTGTTGTTTAGAAGACCCTGTTTTAACCTTTCCGAAGTTGCATGATTAAGAAACACATTCCAACTTTACTGATCTGGTAAGCAATGCTGTGATTGGTCAGATGAAAGGACTTGACCAGTAATTGGATGTCCTCAGATCTTAGTTTAGCTGTAGCGAGAACAAAAATGTGATTTTATTGAGATTGTACTGCAGTTGGCTTGCATTTTCCCAAACCAGAAGACTGGAAATGTAGGTTCCACTGTTGTTGATGCCGATGTTTAAATCCAGGTTTCAAGACAAAATCAAAAGAATACTGATTTAGGTACATTATGACCAGTTGTACTAAACTTGGTGAATTCTTCAACTGCTGTGTTGTTCATATGGCCTGAAGATATGGGTAGACCTGTTGGCATTCCGGGTTAGAATTGATCCCTAGCGACCTATGCTGGTGGTAAGAGGCGCTTTGATTGATGTGGTGGTCTGGCTCAGTCACATGGTTGATGGTGTTGATCGTCGATCATAATATCAATCAGGGGATTGTTCATACATCCGAGATAGTGTCGAGGGCAACATTGAACTCAAGCAAGTTTGCACGCTAGCATGCATGGATAATGGTACTCAAGGCAGCCCCGGAGCCTCATTGTCGTTTCCTTTTGGTGAATATTTCCATATCGACTTGGATTATTTCAGGTCTCTGCCCAACTGAGGTCTATACACATGGAGCTAAAGAACGTCCAGATCTGTGGCATGATCAGCTGTTGCGGGCCATTAGTCTCCTCTGCAGCAAATCCTGCCTACCAGAAGCAGCTGATGTCCTGGCCTTCTTTAAAACTCAGCTGCCTAAGACAGGTACCTCATATTGCCATACTTTTTCTTATCAACACTTCCTTTACTTGAGGATCACCTCCAACTCCCTGTAGCCAGTATATCACCTACCAACTCCACCTGTGGTTTGTAACTTAGTATATCACCCACCTACTCCTCGTGTAGCCAGTATATCACCTACCAACTCCACTTGTGGTTAGTAAATCACCCATCTACTCATGTAGCCAGTATATCACCTACCTCTTCATCTAGCCAGTATATCACCTACCAACTCCACCTGTGGCTAGTATATCACCCACCTACTCCTCATGTAGCCAGTACATCACCTACTATCTGTCTCCTGGCTGTAGCCAGTATATCACCTACCAACTCCCCATGTGGTTAGTATATGACCTACTTCACATGTAGCCAGTAGCTCAGGCAACTCCTGTATATCCTCTGGCAACTCCTGTTTATCCCCTGCTAACTCATGTATATCCTCTGCCAATTCCTGTATGTCACCTGCTTGTTTTAGAAGCAGTCTTAACAGATCACCACAGAGAAGCTGCTTGTCAGCTTATGGAGTTAGCGCTATGTCACAGAGATCTGGACACAGCTGTAAAGGTGTTCGACCTTGCGAAGACCGTGCTCCAGTTCAATCACCTCCGCCATCTTCTCATCCAGTGTTTCCTCAGCAATATGCGTGCCAAGGCCGGTGACATCTTCATTCTTCTCAGACCAGATTTGACAAAGAATAACTCTCAAAACCTCATTGTAGTAAACAACAGTTTCCACTTCACGGAGATCGAGATGATCATCTGTGCCCACCTGGTCGATCTGTACCATGAACTCTGTCAGCTGAAGATGTCAGAGGGGCATACTCCGACAGATGATAACCTTGCTCTGACTGTCACTGTGGACGACGACACAAATCCGATGCCCAAGACAGTCCAGGACACCACCAAGGAAGTCAGGCTCATCTTCAGGAGACTTGGAGTGGACAGTCACCTAACAGTGCCCCGTAGAGTCGTGGTGGATATACACACCCTGAAGGAGTACATGAGGGGCTGCGATGAACAAGGTAATCCCCTCATGTTGGTTGTCATCATGCTTGTAAGGTTAAAAACATGTTGGAATTGGGAGGTGGGGGCGATCATCATATCATATATGGTTTCTTCATAATTAAGGGGGGCGGTCGGGTAGCCTTGTAGTTAAAGCGTTCGCTCGTCACGCCGAAGACCCGGGTTCGATTCCCGACGTGGGTACAATGTGTGAAGCCCATTTCTGGTGTCCCCCACCGTGATATGGCTGGAATATTGCTAAAAACGGCGTAAAATCAAACTCACTCACTCATAATTAAGGTGAGTTACAGAACCTTGTGTGTGGGGGTTATTTTCATCTTTCTGTTTAAATTTTTAATAAACAATAACCTAATTTGGTTTCAGCAAGGAATTTGGGCCTGTTTCCATTATCTCCGGAAGAAAGTCAACAGTTAAGTTTGTATGAATCTCAGGGAAGATCTCGTGGAAGAGGGATGGATTTCACCAAAGTTAGGGAACGAGGTCAGTATCAATCCAGAGGTCAAGGTTACATTATGAGAGGTCAAGTTCGCAGCATGAGAAGTCAAAGTCATGACAGATATCCTGGTCACAGCATTAGAGGTCAAAGCCATGACAGAGGTCAGTGTCACAGCAGAGGTCAAGGCCACTGCAGAGGTCGAGGTCGATACCACAGAGGCCAACTTCACAACAGATGAAGAATACTTCTAAAGTTATGTGTTTCAGCGCTGGAAACATTTATGACAGGCCTCAAGTGATGCTTCATTGTTAGAATCACTTGTGACCTGTAACAACTGCATAGTGACTATTCCAGGTCCTATGTGATATTTCTTTGCAATAATCACATATGTCTTATAACATCTGCTTCGAGACTGTGGTGGATATTTGTGATGGTACTTTCAAAGGATTCTACACTTAGCCTTTCATGTTGGGGGCAGCAGTTCTGAGTGTTTTCTAGTCAACTTGTTCATGAACATTTATTTTTATTGTAAGTTTTTGGCTTGCATACATTGACATGCTACTATGAATAGTGATGTTTTTATTTGGTTCAATTGCAATTTTAGGTATCATTTGTCATACTGATATGCATTTATTAAGAAAGTTTTGGAATGAACTCCAAGGTAGATGGTGTTTGTAGATGCACAAACTTAAAAGATGTTTGCAGCAGTACACAAGGAGACAGACATTAAGTATCTGAAAAACTTGTTGATTTATAGTGATATCTAATAAGGGTTTCTATAAAGTCCGCGTTTCGTAACTGTTTTTATAGATTAGTCTGTCGGTAGGCTTGGTAGTGTTATACAAGGACAGGGAACCAGACTGCTGTGTTGGCCAAGAAGCAAGACATAGGTTCTCTGTTGTCAGAGTGTGATCAAAATTGAATAGTCTTTGAATTGGTTAGTATCGTATGGGCTTCCCTAGGCCTAAGATGGCACTGATGTAGTGATCCCATAGGCTAGTATGGACTTCCCTAGGCCTAAGATGGCACTGATGTAGTGATCCCATAGGCTAGTATGGGCTTCCCTAGGCCTAGGATGGCACTGATGTAGTGATCCCATAGGCTAGTATGGGCTTCCCTAGGCCCAAGATGAAAATGAAGTAGAGATCCCATAGACTAGTATGGGCTTCCCTAGGCCCAAGAAGAAAATGAAGTAGTGATCCCATAGACTAGAATGGGCTTCCCTAGGCCCAAGAAGAAAATGAAGTAGTGATCCTATAGACTAGTATGGGCTTCCCTAGGCCCAAGATGAAAATGAAGTAGTGATTCCATAGACTAGTATGGGCTTCCCTAGGCCCAAGAAGAAAATGAAGTAGTGATCCCATAGACTAGTATGGGCTTCCCTAGGCTCAAGAAGAAAATGAAGTAGTGATCCTATAGACTAGTATGGGCTTCCCTAGGCCCAAGATGAAAATGAAGTAGTGATTCCATAGACTAGTATGGGCTTCCCTAGGCCCAAGAAGAAAATGAAGTAGTGATCCCATAGACTAGTATGGGCTTCCCTAGGCTCAAGAAGAAAATGAAGTAGTGATCCTATAGACTAGTATGGGCTTCCCTAGGCCCAAGATGAAAATGAAGTAGTGATTCCATAGACTAGTATGGGCTTCACTAGGCCCAAGAAGAAAATGAAGTAGTGATCCTATAGACTAGTATGGGCTTCCCTAGGCCCAAGATGAAAATGAAGTAGTGATCCCATAGACTAGTATGGGCTTCCCTAGGCCCAAGAAGAAAATGAAGTAGTGATCCTATAGGCTAGTATGGGCTTCCCTAGGCCCAAGAAGAAAATGAAGTAGTTATCCTATAGACTAGTATGGGCTTCCCTGGGCCCAAGATGACACTGAAGTAGTGATCCCATAGACTAGTATGGGCTTCCCTGGGCCCAAGATGAAAATGAAGTAGTTATCCTATAGACTAGTATGGGCTTCCCTAGGCCCAAGATGACACTGAAGTAGTGGTCCCATAGACTAGTATGGCCTTCCCTAGGCCCAAGATGAAAATGAAGTAGTTATCCTATAGACTAGTATGGGCTTCCCTGGGCCCAAGATGACACTGAAGTAGTGATCCCATAGACTAGTATGGGCTTCCCTAGGCCCTAGATGGCACTGAAGTAGTGAAGTACCCCATTTGTGATATTGCTGGAATATTGTCGTGATATTGCTGGAATATTGCCATGATATTGCTGGAATATTGCCATGATATTGCTGGAATATTGCTGTGATATTGCTGGAATATTGCTGGAATATTGCTAAAAACAGTGTAAAATGCAGCCCGCTCACTCAATTATGTGGATCGGTGATCATGATATCAATCACTGGATTGTCTGGTCCAGATTTGATTAGTTACAGACCGCCATCATATTGCTGGAATAATGCTGAGGAGGGGATTAAACAACAAACAAACAATTGCAATATGTCCCCGTGGCAATACTGTGATATACCTGTAATTCATGTCAAAGTTCCAGAATTGAATTTCAAACAAGTAGGAAGACACAGGAGCATCATCAGCCGCTCGTCTGAGTCAGCTTGCCTTATGTTAGTAAGGGTTAGTAGAATGTCGGGCTATTAAGGGGATATCCATGTATATTATCAATATCTGGGCATCCCTCATAGTAAGATTTGGTCTTTGTCAGACTTGCAGAATTACATCTGCATTCATGGTTGAATCTCAAATTTGTCTTCCATCACGAACCTTGGTCTGTTGACATGACTGGTTTTTGTGAAAGTGTTGGGGCAGTTATGACCTGTGACTCTTGAGACATTCTTCCAAAGTTTAACTAACAGCTGTGATATGACTAAAAATATTCAAAGTGGCATTAATAACTTAAATGGATTTAAATATGCAAATGTTGAGGTGGATGAGAAAGTAAGAAGATGGACGTATGAGTGCTCGTGTGTGGACCAGATACTCTAGAAAATATGTGTGTATGAAAATGTCTGAACTTTGACACGCCAGTGCAGCGTCTTAACTCGGGGTCGGACGATACACCAAGTGTGCGATACTTATCTGTGCACTTATCTGTGCACTTATCTGTGGTGCGTAGGCCATCTTTTTCATAGACAGGATTGCCAAATACCTGGCACACTAATGATTGGCAGTGTCAGGTATGGCGCAATGAATGAAAATATTTACGTTTTCACTACTCATTTTCACTTGTAATTAGTGTTTAGTGTAACACTTTTTTCAAGAAAACATTTAAGGTAAGTATCAATATTTTTTACTTAGTGTGTGACTGTGATACTTGTATCGAGAAGTAAAAAATTGCGATCTACCGATGCATCGGTGTATCGGCCCACCACTAGTCAGAACTTACATTTTATTTGTGAACAATTTTCTTTTAGTTATTTATGGAGACATTTTCAGTTTGATCAACATAATGGTATTGCCTTGTTTAGATGCTGTGTTAGCAACCTGTTATCCAGTTCTGCATAATAACATGACTTTAGTTTCCATTTGGTTGTTTCTTGTCTGTATATGGTTTTATTGAGGGCAAAGAATGCCTTGATAACTGCAAATTGAATACATGTATATCCATTGTGCCAAATACCAAAGGATCCCAAAGAAGGGGTTTTATGTTTTTTATTATTTTATTAAGGCTGTCAGAGTCCACTGAATTTTCCCAGCATTGCGATATAGGGACCTACCAATTTATGTTCTTGCCTGGTACTTATCAAAAAAAATATATTGTCCCAGAAAATGCTTGAAAAAAATAATTGTGCTTCAGAATGCTGGAAAAAATAGAAGAAATTGTCTGCGGCAAAAAATACATTGTTGCAAAATGCTTTTGTGAAAGAAATGTTTTGTCTAATGGTTTTCATTAAAATATATATCTGGTTTTACAGATGTAGCTGAACAAATATGTAGTCTTCAAACAAAATCCCAGGCCTACCCCAGAATGTCAAATGGTCGGTGCCATGGTCGGTGCCATGGTCAGTGCCAGGGTCGTTGCCATGGTCGTTGCCATGGTCGTTGCCAGGGTCGTTGCCATGGTTGGTGCCAGGGTCGGTGCCATGGTCGTTGCCATGGTGGGTGCCATGGTCGTTGCCAGGGTCGTTGCCATGGTTGGTGCCAGGGTCGTTGCCATGGTCGGTGCCATGGTGGTTGCCATGGTCGGTGCCATGGTCGGTGCCATGGTCGGTGCCATGTTCGTTGCCAGGGTCGGTGTCATGGTCGGTGCCATGGTCGGTGCCAGGGTCGGTGTCATGGACGGTGCCATGGTCGGTGCTATGGTATGAGTATTGTGTTGTAGGGTCGTGTGTTGTTCACAGACCCAGGGGTGCACACCCACTTTTTCTAATGTCTGCTAATGGTGTTTATGTACAAAAAGACACAAGTGACCCAAATGTGATAACAGCCAAAACAGGACAAAGTAAACACAATGTATTGCCATGATGAAATAGAAGTAGTATTCTTAGAATTATACACAATGATAACTATTGTTTGATAAATAAATTGTTTGATGACATGTTTTAAACAATAATAACAATTACTTGACTAATCTTTGGCAAACAATGTAAATTTTCCCGAATTATTCCATTCCGTTGTTTTATTGTATTTTAAGTGCTTCAAGTATGAGTGCAAGAGTTCTCAAACCAGTTTAGGAGCCAAGTGTTTGGTCAATATTCTTTGGGTGGGTCTCAAGGTATTCCTATTGAATTCAGCTCATTAACATGGCAAGTGTCACACTTTCATGTATTGTATCTTTGTATCTTTGTATCTTTGTATCTTTGTATCTTTGCATTATGTATCACGTTTACAGCTTAATCAAAATGAGATCACAATCTCATAATAACCAGATGTTAGTGCTCACAACTACAAAAAGATCTGAGGACATCCCATTACAGAATTGTTTGATAGGCATTACTTAGAAGTTGACGGATAAAAAGGTAGACACAGTGTATGGATAACAACTTCTTTATTTACTGTAATAAATATACCGAAACATTGCCTTTACAGTAGTTAAGGAAGTTGTTATCCATAATTGTGTCGACCGTGTCATGCTATTACAGACCACCTCCGTGGTCTAATGGTAGAGCGTCCGCCCGGAGAGCGGAAGGTCCGGGGTTTGATCCCAAGCCGTGTCATACTTAAAGACGTTAAAAGATGGTACTTGTTGTTACCCTGTCTGGTGCTAGGCATTAAGGAGCTAAAACAAGGACTGGTCGGCTCAGAGTCAGTATACTGTGTCTGAGTGGGGTATTCATGTTAAACTGTGGCATGGTATCTCAGTGTGCTAGCACTATAAATCGGCATCAGTCCGGACTAGTACAAGCAGCCACACACACATGTGCATGCATGTCACTATATAAGTGCAATAATCTTGGACGCAACGTTAAACCCCATTTCACCTCACCTCACCTCATCCTATTACAGGTCATGTCAGAATGACCTTTCATTCGACCAATCAAAGGTGGTAGTCCAAATGTGTTTTCTTATTATGCAACCTAAAAAGGTTAACACGGGGCACTCCAAATGACAGTTGTAGACTGGAAGACTAATTCCATCAAAATCGTCTATTTCTCACTTTAATAGGAAAAACATCTGAAACAGAAGAAACTTGCGATAGCCCACGAGAGGTACTGCCACACCAGTGCCATCAATCAGACATTCCAGAATTTACTTTTGTTAACTTTTCAAATTTTGAATCAAGAATCAAGTCAAAATATTTTTCAAGGCATAGTCTGTGATAGAAGTTGGCATATGGAAACTAGTACCGAAAAGCTAGAAAAAGCTGCTTTTTTGTTGTCTACTGTCGACTTCCTGTTTGCCATTTAGTTGGTTGGTCAAAGTTTGCAACAGGTTGTTCTGAAGTGTCCTGACCTGGGATGTCCTCAGATCTTTGTGTAGCAGTAGCGAGCACTAAGATCTGATTTTAATGAGATTGATGACATCAAGACCTGCATTTAATATTTATTTAGCGATGGCACGATTCATCAATGTACTATTGCATTGTGATTTTACATCTCATGTTACGATACATCTACTTATTAAATAATTCTCATTTAATTTTCAAAAAATAATAATTACGAACTTGTGCTTTTAACTCAGTCATCTAAAGCTAGCATTACCTTGCTATCTGTCACCAGTCAAAATGCAAAAATCTGATTACTTGATTTTAATAGAACAAAGCTGGAATAACCAAACCTACAAGTGAAGCTAACACTTGTTGATAAGAACCATCTTGTGTTAGCCAAGCCATGTATAACATATTGAAAAACATGCACAAATTACCGTATTCGACGTAATAAGCGCCCAGGGCGCTCTCAAAATTAGAAATAGGGGGCATTTTTCAGAATTTTATTTTGGTGTTAAAAGATTTCGTGGTTTATGCTGACAGCCTGAAATGTTTATACACGACAGATATATTTTTCCAGGACTTAAATGCCCATAATTAAGGGTACATATAACACACGAGTGCGTATTATACACGAATAAATAAGTCTTGTGTACATTGATCAATCGGAAGGGGTGCTAATTGAGATTGTTCACTAGCCAATATATTAGCAAATATCGACGTGGGCGCTTATTACGTCGAATACGGTATGCATCACGATACATATCGTATCATGACTCAAGAAGCATGATGTATATTACCGTATTTGAAGTAATAAGCGCCCAGAGTGTTCTCGAAATTAGAAATAGGGGCTCCTATTAGAATATTATTTTGGTGGAAAAAACAAAGTTGAAAGATAAATTTCGTGGTTTATGCTGATAGCCTGAAATGTTTATATGCGACAGATATATTTTTCCAGAATTACCCATAATTAAGGGTGCATATAACACACAAGTGCTTATTATACCCGAATAAATAAGTCTTGTGTACATTGATCAGTTGGAAGGGGTGCTAACTGAGATTGTTCACTAACCAATATATGAGCAAATATTGACGTGGGCGCTTATTAGAGTGGGGCACTTATTACATCAAATACGGTAATACACGATTCATTATCTGTATCATCACTACATATCCATGATGGTAAGGGACCGGTCTTTTAATACAGAGAGAGCACTAACGTACTGAAAATAATTACCCTCCCCTAATGCATGTCTTAATTTTCATGACCCTCCCAGAAATGAAAAAATGCAAAAGCACTTTATCCTTTTTATATAATGTCCATTTTTTCACGACCCTCCCAAAATGTGTGTTGTTTTTTTGCCCTCCTCTAGAGATTCATGTTTTTGGTGGCCTTCTGATTTCCACAGACCCACCCCTTTTAATAAATGACCGGTCCCTAATGTGTGCCCACTCGTCTTTTTCAACGAAATATGCAATTAAACAAATAACCTCAAGAGACAAATTGGACCAACCACTGAATATTGGGATGTGCCAGGGCATGATTTTTGTATTTTTTACTGATATCTTTTGGGTCACTGCGTCAAAACATATTTTATCTTTGAAAGGTAGAATCAGTTTAATGTTTCTTCACAATACAAATATTTTCAGGACAATTCAGGGAACAATTTACTTTTGGGGGTACAACCTGAAGACAAAGTATTTAATTCCTTCACAGTTTTGATAAAACACCAGCACACTTTCCGTCCTTACAATTAAAGAAACAGTACTGTTGTCTTTTAGGGTCACCTTTGGATCGAACTTTCTCCATGTTAGGAAAAGTGGGCCATTTTGTCTTAATGTGTTTATGCTTGACCTGCAAGTGGAATATAACTGCAGGTAATTGTTTATGTTTTTATTGATCATAATTTGTTTATTTGCATTACGTTGTTGAACAAGTGTCATGTTCATTGATTTTTCTGTTAAAAATCTCATTTATCATGATAAATATCACATACTTTGTTAATGTACTTGGAGAAATTTGAATTGATACATATCACATACTGATGTCAGCAGTTTGTTTAAGACCGTATTATCCATGATGTGGGTCATTGTTGGAACTAACTTGCTGCCCCGAGGGGATGCTGGGTTTGACTTAGTCCATACAACCTGTGCTGTTGTAAGAGGGGATGAGGTGGTCAGGCTCGGTGACTTGGTTGATGGCGTGTCATCGGACCCCGATGATACGGGTCGCTGCTCACAGTATCAATTGTGTGGACGAGACTCGATTTCTTACAGGCCGTCATCATATAGCTGAAACTTTGCTGTGTGCACCAATGTTAAAAACACAGACCTTGTGTGCTGTTTGTTGAACTTGTGCAACAACGACAATGAGGGCTATTTGAGCTGCTGTCTTAATTGACCAAAGACTCATGTCATGTAAACCTTTGTGATCAGAACATCCATCTCAGTTTGTGTGCCATGGTGCCTATTGAACCAGGTACTGAGGTAGCCTAGTGGTGAAGGTGTTCCATCCATTTTGCAGGAACAGGTTCGATTCCCCACATGGTTACATGGCCCATTTTGGGTGTCCCCTCACATGATATGCCTGATGTATTGCTAAAAGCATCATAAAACCACACTCACTCACTCAGGCACTTAAACAAACCAAAGAGGCCACCTCACTCGAGTTCTTACATTTGTACTTAAGACGGTCTTCTCAAATTGATAAAGGCTTGTGTTTAGGACCGAGATAATTTTCACATGATCTCTTGTAGCCATCTGGTCAAATATATAATATATATCTGTTACATTAAGATTGCATGCTCTGTATCATGTGCAATGCATCTTCCCGAGGCAAGAGAGTCAACTGACTTCAAAAGTCCAGTTTCCACCCTTGCCAAACTAGGCTGGAATTCCTGGGCTCGATCGTAGAGCCAACAGTGGCTATTACCACATACAGTTTTGTCCCTTCTAAGCCAATCAGATTCCACCTCTGGTATCACTTGCATTTGCTTCAAACAAAATGGCAGCGCCCAGTTAAGATGATCTGATCGTTAATCAAGATCTATATTGTAATAAAATGGGTCTTACATCGCCAAGTGCTTCAAATCACGTAAGCACCTTGATTAAAAACATGAAAAGATTTGGAAAATATCTGTGGACAAGTAGTTGGCAGTGCACATGCTTTGCAAATCCTGCAATTGACCGAAATCTGCACAACAGTTCACGAACCGGATTTCGATTACATTGCGCGATTTTGATTGGACTATTCATAGACTCATTAGTGCAGTCAAAATGTAACTCCATAATACCAGCCTAGTTCGGCAGGGTGGAAACTGGACTTTTATTGTCGGTTATCCCTCATGCATCTCGGGAAGATGTGTGCAATTGTGAAGCCTGAACAAGTTTCACGACAAATGCAGGAAATGATTTTGAAGCAAGGGCATGACAGCTTCTGAAGTGCTAGCTCTAATTGATGTTTAGAGCAATGAAATGTAATTAAAATACAAATAAATAAAGTAAATAACAGGCAGGAGACAGTGTCAGTACACGTTAGATCTGCCAATGAATATGGTTGTCCTAAAAAAATGTTCTTGGTAAATGGAAAGGGTCTGCTCTCCCTATCAGTTGAAACCAATTGGATCAACTTGAATCTAATCGAGACACCAAGTCAGCTACTAAGCCATAGAACTGTTTATTGTTTCTTGTTACACAGGCTACATTAATTCAGAAAACTAAATGTGTTTGTATATTGCAATTGTGTTGTGAATTTGTTGATTGTTATTTTTGAGTTTTCAGATTTGTTCAACTTGTCAAAATGACCTTTTCAGTTAACCAAAAGCTAAAAGTTGGCAACAGTTTCATGAATTGATGATCATGCATGTCTGGTGATCATGTTGGCATGTTTGAGAAATGTAAGATCGGTTTTCAGTTTGACAGTGTCAGGTATTAAAGGACAATTCTGCTTTTATGTTTTAACTTTTCAAAATGAGATGTGCCTTGCTGCTGTGTCAGTTGTTAAAAAAACTTTGATTTGTGGAGACGTGTCTAAGGAACAGACCAAAATGAATTCTTTTGAGGGATATGGTCTAATTCCATAATAATGGAATTGTGAATAATTCAGTTTTCAAAGTGGCAATTGTGTATTTCGAAAACAAAATAGCACATACATGTATGAAAACATGCCAGATCTGCAGATTTTTTGCACTTCTTTGTTTTGCTCGCCATGATATACTGCAAGATTACTGATGCTGCGTGAAGCAAAATCACTTTCACTTTGTTTTGTCAGAGTATACTGAATTATGTTTACTATATGATGTCACAATCTTGTGTTTCTTGAAGCATGTGCCTGCAGAAAATGTTTCACAGACCCATTGGTAAAGAATATTTTGTACTTTTAGTCATTATGTTTTGTTATTTTATCATCGTATCAAAAGGATACTTTTATTATTACAAAATCAAGATGTAATAAATCATGATCATGTTTTTAATATAGAATTTGTTCTTGTGTTTCACATATAAATTTTCTGTGGCAGAGCAGATGCAATCAGTATGGATACAATAGGTCCTGTGTTAAAAGTCTGATATAATATACAATTCCTGAATAGCTGATTCTTGTCTCCCAGTAAAACCTCTACCAGTGCAACATAAGATACATAGAACCTGTGTATCTCATACTCGTCCCCCTAAGGAGCCGATGATACAATAGATCCCATGAACCCGCTACTCGTCCCCCTAAGGAGCCGATGATACAATAGATCACAAGTACCCCATACTCGTCCCCTTAAGGAGCCAATGATACAATAGATCCCATGAACCCCATACTCGTCCCCCTAAGGAGCCGATGATACAATAGATCCCATGAACCCCATACTCGTCCCCCTAAGGAGCCGATGATACAATAGATCCTGAGTACCCCATACTCGTCCCCGTAAAGAGCTGATTATACAATAGATCCTGAGTATCCCATACTCAATAACCCCTAAGGAGCCGATTATACAATAGATCACAAGTACCCCATACTCGTCCCCCTAAGGAGCCGATGATACAATAGATCCCATGAACCCCATACTCGTCCCCCTAAGGAGCCGATGATACAATAGATCCCATGAACCCCATACTCGTCCCCCTAAGGAGCCGATGATACAATAGATCCTGAGTACCCCATACTCGTCCCCGTAAAGAGCTGATTATACAATAGATCCTGAGTATCCCATACTCAATAACCCCTAAGGAGCCGATTATACAATAGATCACAAGTACCCCATACTCGTCCCCCTAAGGAGCCGATGATACAATAGATCCCATGAACCCCATACTCGTCCCCCTAAGGAGCCGATGATACAATAGATCCCATGAACCCCATACTCGTCCCCCTAAGGAGCCGATGATACAATAGATCCTGAGTACCCCATACTCGTCCCCGTAAAGAGCTGATTATACAATAGATCCTGAGTATCCCATACTCAATAACCCCTAAGGAGCCGATTATACAATAGATCACAAGTACCCCATACTCGTCCCCCTAAGGAGCCGATGATACAATAGATCCCATGAACCCCATACTCGTCCCCCTAAGGAGCCGATGATACAATAGATCACAAGTACCCCATACTCGTCCCCCTAAGGAGCCGATGATACAATAGATCCCATGAACCCCATACTCGTCCCCCTAAGGAGCCGATGATACAATAGATCCCGAGTATCCCATACTCAATAACCCCTAAGGAGCCGATGATACAATAGATCCCAAGTACCCCATACTCGTCCCCCTAAGGAGCCGATGATACAATAGATCACAAGTACCCCACACTAGTCTCTTTAAGGTTTGTCACAAAAGCTTTTCTTATGCGCAATATTAAGCAAGCTGCTCCAATAAGACCTGACCGTCTTCTGAATGATCAGGCTTAACTATATAATGATTCTAATACTAAAGAGAGGGGCGGTGGGAAGCCTAGTGGTTATAGCGTTGGCTTGCACAACGAAGACCCTGGTTCAATTTCCCACTTGGGCGAAATGTGTGAAGCCCATTTCTGGTGTTCCCTGCCGTGATATTGCTGGAATATTCTAAAAGCGGTGTAATACCATACTTACTCACTCACTCACTCACACTAATGACTGCAGAAAGTTAATGCAGCCACATCACAAGGATAAAGTCAATGGCTCAGTGAATGACATGTCATACCGATCCAAGGATGTGTGTACAAAGTATGTGACATTTCATTACTCTGCGGGTGTTAACTTCACTGTCTGTTCCTGCCAGAGCAACCTGATAATAATCGGATCTAAACCAAACAAACCAGACACTAAAACTACCAGCTATGACCAGTGCTGCCAGTGCATGACGACACTGCCAAGTGGCAGAGCCGAACACACCAGGTACCATTTTTTTGCTTCATACAATCAGCCACCAGTGACAATCCGGGTTAGCACTGCTCTTTAGCACCCCCTGCTTGTTGTAAGAGCCAACAAACAGGATTGTATGGTCAGGTTCGACGACTTGGTTCATGCATGTCATCGTATCCCAACTGCGTAGATCAATGCTCGGGTTGTCAATCACTAGATTGTCTGGTCCAGACTTGATAATTTACAGATCATGTAATATAGCTGTAATATTGCTGAGTGCGACGTTAAACAAATCAGCTTTGGTTCCTGGGATCCTATCTGCCTCAGGTCTAATCTACATTGTTACAACCACCAAATGCTGGCAATATTGATATTGACACAAACCCGGTATCATCTAGGGTTGTAAAAAACAAACTGACACAATGGATTTGAAAAATATTTTATGATATAGCTAATAATAACAAACCTGTCAGGCTTGCTGCAACTAAACAATGGCAGAAAGTGACAGTTTCTTGACACATCCATACCACAGTAACAAACAACTCAAGAAGAAAGAAAAAACAATCTCATTACAATCAGATCTTGGTACTCGCTATCGCTAAACAAAGATCTGAGGACCACCCATTTAGGGTTACGTCAGAAAGACCTTTCATCCAACCAATCATTGCGTCGCTTACCAGATCATGAAAGTGACAGTCAGAATCTGTTTTCTTATCATGCAACAACGAAATATTTAACACGGGGTATTCCGAACGACAGTTATGGGTTTTATGATAATATCCATACAATCTAGGCCATCTATACGAAATTCCAGAATGTTCTTCTTATCAGTTTTTTTACATCAAAATATGTTTCGAAGCGTAGTCGCCAGTTTGAATCTAGTGTCGTAAAGTTGAGAAAGCTGCCTTCTGACTGGCTAATGTCGATTTCTTGTCAGTCATTTCATTGGTCGCTCAAAATTCACGAAAGGTCGTTCTGACGTGACTCGTAATGGGATGTCCTAAGATCATTGTTTAGCGGTAGCGAAAACTAAGATCTGATTTTAATGAGATTGAAAGAAAAACAAAATGAATGTGACAAGTAACAAACCTGCATCACATGTCCGTGGCAAAATAATATTTACCACTCAAAACAAATTAAAGAAAACCCAAAATCGGAAGGCTGTGTTTTGTAATACCCACCAGCCGTGACAGATTAACAATAATCATGTAAAATTGGGTGTCCTTTAACTTCTGAGTAGAATATCTAAATAGTTCTGACCCTGAACACAATCTAGACAGCATGATAGAGGCATGTCTTCTAGATGGACTGATAGGTTTCTGATCCAGCACTTAATGTCTTGTGATCTTCTAAACCTAACCAAGAGTTACTCTTTCAGTAAAGATGACAGAAGGAAAAAAAAGTTAAAATGGTACACACAGTGAATGAGTGAGTTGTGTTTTATGCTACTTTTAGAAATATTCCCTCCATACCCTGGACAGGGAACACCAGGCTTCACTCAAAGTTTGGTTGGTTGGTTTGTTGTTTTATGCCGCACTCAGCAATATTCCAGCTTTTTGACAGCGGTCTGTAAATAATCGAGTCTGGACCAAACAATCCAGTGATTGATATCATGAGCATCAATCCACGCAATTGGGATCGATGACATGCATCAACCAAGTCAGCGAGCCTGACCACCCAATCCCTTTAGTCGCCTCTTACGACAAGCATAGTCGCCTTTTATGGCAAGCACGGGTTGCTGAAGACCTATTCTACCCCGGATCTTCACGGGTCTCACTCATAGTACAAATGTGGGGAATCAAACCCGGGTCTTCAGCATAATTAGCCAAAGCTGAAACCACTGGGCTACAACACTGCACTTTACTGAGGGACACCACTATAGGAACACAATAAAACTGCTGAATAACATAACTGTTGTATTCAAATGATAATATGGGTGGGTTCACCACATTGCCAGACTCCTTCGATCTCAGAAGTACAGTGGACACGCTTCTTTAACATCTTCCATATTGCATTCAGCCAGTACATATATGGTACATGTAAAGTGATACTGACCGACATGGAACACAATCTGACCTAGCACTACTGTCACTTAGGATATGGTGTTCATCTGCTGCTTTGTAATAACAACCCAGATGAGTTAGTGACCAGTAATGAATTCAAACCAACTTGACTTTAGTACGGGGCATGGGTGGCCCAGTCGTCTAAGGAGCCGCAATTCACTGTGTAGAGTTGTGTCCCTTTGGCACGCCAAAAACCTATGATTGTGGGTTCGAATCCCGGTTATCCCAGATTATGTTTCTAGGTTTGACAGCACCATACCCGTGCTTGTGGGTTTCACCAAAGTGGTAACTGTCTAAGACCTGCATCACTTCGGTCGTCATGAAGCTGACACAGTGATGGAACTGGAATACTGTTAAAAGTGGCATTAAATCCAATTCACTCACTCTGACTTAAGTACACCTGATAATACAATAGGTCAGAGTTTCATAATCATCACCACATGTATATCATGGGCGCACACGTTTGTTGAAGGAAAATACCAAATGTTATCAATTACATTACCTACAGACCAAGACACCTGCAGTTACATACTCATAATATATTCTTCCACTTAACCATTCACCATTCTTAAGTAAGTGAAGTGGGTTTAACACTACTTAACAGTATTCCAGTTATATTACAGCGTGTCAGTTTAATGTGGGAGACCGAAGTGATGCAGGTCTCAAACATTTATCTCTTTGGTGAAACCCACGATCATGGGTATAGTGCTGACAAAGTTAGATTTGAACCCACGATCATGGGTTTTTACATGCCCAAGGGATGCAACTCTGCTTATTGAATTGTGGTGCTTTAGACGACTGGGACACCTTGCCCCCTGTTTATATATAGAAAGCTGAATATACAAAAATGTAATATTCTGAAATTTGACTGACTACGTAGCACATGTACTTTTGCAAAATCATCTTTTTTAGAAATGATTGCAAGCAAAGACAGAAATTCTACAAACTCTCAAACAATTAACATCCATGTCAATACACGTCATAGGTCATCCATATCATGTTCCTCAACGCCATGCTCAGTGTCAGAATAACACTTGAAACACATCAGTTATAATACAGCCACACACACACACACACACACACACACACACACACACACACACACACAGATACACTGTCTATTGATCATTGTCAGAATAGACACTTAACACAAATCAGTTATAATACACAGTCACAGATATACTGTCTCGTGGAAGCTGATGTCTTGCATTGCTATTAGCGGTGACCATGGGTCAGTCATCAACAGTGATTGACAGGGCTTTTATTTCTGATAGAGTCTGTTGCATCCTAGACTTATATTCATCGTCGGTGTAGTTCTTAAGGCCACAGAGTGTTGAGGAAAGTTCACTGTACACCTTGTAGGCCTCTGTGTTGTGAGTTACCTGCAACACATCAAATAAGCATGAACTCCTCTGCCAATATGACATGTCCGTTGTGTGCAAGGCAAGAAATATTGTACGGTTTTCAAGATCAGTCCCGGAAAGGAGCACAACCACCATCTTCAGTCTAAATTTAAGTCGTTGCCATGGAAACTCAAAAAATATTTTTTTAAGAATCCCAAACTATCAAAAGGCACCAGTTTACCACTAGACTTATCTATGTGCCAAGTTTGTTGAAGAAATATTGTACAGTTTTCAAAATCTGCTCCGGGAAGTAGCACTACGGACATTTTCAGTCTAAGTCAAAGTCAAAATCCCAAACTATCAAAAGGCACCAGTTCACCACACCTATCTAACTGTTGGAGACGGTGTGTATAAGTGATTGTGGAATAAACACGCTGGATGTGAAGCAAACATAAGCCTAGTTAGTTACAACAGTTACTCACCATTGTCTCTTATATGTTATTACTTCATAAATTAATTTTATTTTACGGGCACCAATTTGGTGTCGTACCGTGTAAACACAAAATGGCAACATGTGCTGGAGTTACACACGCTACCAATCATCGTAGAAAAAACAACGCAAGATAAACATATTTTTATTGCATATATAAGGTTTGTGTGCACACTTGTGATGTGCTTCATTCCATGTCACCTTATACAAGGAGTATAGGATTTTGGGTTGATTTTGAAGGCGTGTACAGGGGGGTCGTCTTATACGTGGGGTCGCCTTATACACAGCGATATACGGTATGTGCCATGTTTGGTTAAGATATCTCTCGAGGAATTAGAGTTCTGATCCGGAGACAAAACCTAACGGACAGAAGAACAGACGGACAGAACCCATTCCTATATCCCCCTTCCACTTTGTGGCAGGGGATAATAAATGGATAAATGAAATAGCTGCTTTTTTAAGGGTCTCAACACTAAACATCCTCAAATTGCTGTAGAATAATTTTAAAAAAAGCATTTCCAGAAATGTGAATAAACTCCCAAAACAAAACATAACCGACACAGACATGATGCAGACATGACACAGGATGACACAGACATGACACAGAATGACACAGACATGACAGACACAACAGACACGATAGACACAACAGACAGGACACAAATACGACAGACATGACACAGATATGATACAGACACGACAGACCGGGCACAGACAGGACAGACATGACACAGACACGAAAGACGTGACAGTCACAACAGACATGACACAGACATGATACAGACACGACACATACACATGACACAGACAGGACAAATGACACAGACATGACACACATACGACACGACACAGACAGGACAGAAATGACACAGATACGACACAGACGTGACACACATACGATACAGACATGACACGACACATACGATACAGACACGACACAGACATGACACAGACACATGACACAGACAGGACAGAAATGACACAGACACGACACAGACGTGACACACATACGACACAGACACGACACAGACATGACACAGACACATGACACAGACAGGACAGAAATGACACAGACATGACACAGACGTGATGGTGAGTTCCACAACCTGTGATCGGATCAGTGCCTCCAGGGAGGGGTGGAAGTAGTCGATCCTACTCTCGTACAGTTTGGGCATGTCTTCCACGAGTGCCGAGTTCTGCACCTGGAAATCCTCCTTTGCCAGTGCCAGAGATTTCTTACTCTGAAACCATGGTAACAAGGATTCACTTATGACTACCATGTTAGAAGTATATCAATCTCCAGTGAATATGTTTTTTTTGTCATCATAAATGGCCACTTAAACTAAAAGTTCTGATGAATAAAATACCCACACAGCTTTTCTGAGTGATTTATATTGAAGCATGACTGCTGGATGTGGTATGATCATAACTGGAGATATAAAAAAATAATCATTGTGAATTCTCTATTAAAAGTAGGAAGATCAGCAAACATAAGTGTGTGAGTGAGTGAATGTTGTTTAACACCTGTAAATAATGGAGTCTGGACCAGACAAACCATGAGTGATCTGGACTCCATTATTTACAGGTCATAAAGTGATCCACTTTATCATGACAGCCCTCAGCAAGTCACCAAGCATTATTTACAGGTCATAAAGTGATCCACTTTATCAAGACCCGATGACAGCCCTCAGCAAGTCACCAAGCCCGACCACTTGATTGTCTGTGGTTGGTTCTCACAGCAAGCATGGGATACTGGGGAGCTAATCGTTGATGAGGTTATTGAGTAACCATTAACACCAGCCCACCTGGTCCAGCTTGACCACGTTCTGGCCTGTCCGATCTCGCTCCTGGTACTTGTCCACTTTGGCTTGGCACTTCTGGAACTCCTGCACAGGACATGGACTCAAAGTGTCAAACATCATGTCAACTTTCATCATAATCCATCAGAAACACAATCCAACGAACACCTTCAATCTGATGTATCTTAATAACTGATGCTTATTTACACTCTTGTCCTCAGGTTTCTTACAATCACATCATATGACGAGGACAAATAAAAAGCATATTTTCATTTTACCCTTAAAAGCCAATCTCATTAAAATCAGATCTTAGCTCTCACTACCACTAAACAAAGATCTGAGGACATCCCATTACTGGTCACGTCAGACCGACCTTGCGTGAACTTTGACCGACCAATTGAATGACCAATCAGAAGGCAGCTTTCTCATGCTTTAAGGCACAAATTTCAAATTGGCAACATTTTGACAAATTCTCCATTATAAATTTGAAACCTGAACAAAAAAAATCTGGAATGACTAATAGATGGTCTAGATTGTAAGGTTTCAGTCGTTAAACCCGTAATTATCATGGGGAATACCCCATGTGAAAAATTTTCGAGATTGCATGATCAGAAATCACATTCCGACTGTCACTTTCATAATCTGGTAAGCGACGCACTGATTGGTCGGGTGAAAGGTCGTTCTGACGTGACCCCTAATGGGATGTCTTCAGATCTTTGTTTAGCGGTAGCGAGAACTAAGATCTGATATTAATTGGGTTGGGCACTTTTGGAACTCCTGCACAGGACATGGACTCAACATGTCAAACATCATGTAAACTTTCATCATAATCCATCAGAAGCACAATCCAATGAACACCTTCAATCTGATGTATTCCAATAACTTATGCTCACTTATTTACACTCTTGTCCTCAGATTTCTTACAATCACAACATATGACGAGGACAAAGCATAATATTTTCATTTTACCCTTAAAAGCTAAACTGAAAATTTCAGATTCCAAGAATTTGCTTCTTCTTAAAATGTATTTTTCACACTGAGCAATTCGGATCAAACTTGTAACCTTCAGATCTGAACCAAGTGACTGAACCATATGAGGCTTCTGAGGCCCAGATCAATCACAATGTTTTTAAGAATCTCTTTTTCAAGTACATGTATGCCAGTAAGAGATATTTTATATCCATTTCCTAAGGTTAACAGAAAGTAAGTTTGAAAATAAAATTGTTGATAAATGATGTTTCAGATTTAGCTTTCAGTTTACAAGTTGGATAAAAAACTCCTCAGTCTTGATTGAGAATGTTAGCCCGGGGGAGAGGGAAAGGGGAGAGGGGGCTTACATTCTCTGTCATGACCAAGGAGTCATTTCTTAGACTTAAAGAAATAAAAGAATTGGTTCTCAGGCAATGACTTTTGAAAATATGGTGGGCGGGAGGTGTTTTTTTTGCTTGTTCAAACTAGTATGTACCCACAGAAACAGTTGTGTACCATCAACCTGGGAAAGGGCCTCCCTACATAAACAAGCATACAAACTCCTATTTTCGCCATGACCAAAACACAAGATACACAGTAAAACAGTGCACATTGAAAGGGAAGTAAGTGCATGCCAAATTGGATCACATTGTTTTAAGTATTGGGATTATTTTATTTTTTTGAAAATGGAAATAAAAATGAGACATGCGGCAGACTTTATGATGACGCGAGCGGTGCTTGAGAACCAAGACTATTATTTTTTTAGCCTCTTATTAACTTGCCTGCAAGCTTTGTTCTCTCTTTTTGACAGCTGCTTGAACATTTGGGAAAATACTGTTGAATCTGCAAACACAACATCAACAGTTTACAAAAAAGGAAAAACAGAAGTAGACCAATCAGTCATCCGAAAACTTTTAATACATCAACACATTCTCAAGAAACATGTGTCATGAACCATTTGGACCTAATAAACCAGAGGAGGCACTGGAATACTGTTGCAAAGCTGCGCTAAACCCAACTCACTCACTCAATCAATACATCAAATGACAGCTTACCTGTATATCACCAGGTATTGGCCAACCTCTGACATAGGTCAACCCCACAACATGATTTTAACCATTAATATTCGCCTCAGAGTGAGCTTGAACAATCAGAGAGCAAAGCTAACTAACCCAATATGAGCCCGTATATTGTCGGTAAATATTCAATATGGTTGTTACTGACCTAATATGAGACCGTATACTGTCAGTAACACCCACACATATTTCACATAATAATTCTGGTAAAGAAATTCATTATTCAATACTGTTTTGTGTTTTAATATCATTAATTGTGATGTGCAAAGACATTAATTCATGAAGAAACCAAGATGTGTCTTTATTAATAAAAAAATAAGGCAAAAAAGCTTACGACAGGTCACTGATTTACAAATGGCAACGTCATAGAACATAATATAGGATGACAAGACAAGGAAAACAAGAAATGTGACGCCATTGACGTCACATATGACAGAATGGATACCAGCTCTTCATTTGGGAAAAAGCAGATTGCAAGCCAGTTACAGTGGCCCACAGATTTCTGATAACATGCAGGCATTTCATGTTAATTCTATCCAACTAGGGTATAATATGTGTGTAAATGTCCACAATTAGTACATCATGTATTCCATTGTTAACAAGTATTTGTCACAGAGTGACGAAATATCCCCCGCCATATACACCATAGTACCAAATATGAAGACAATCCAGCGATTAGTTCTTGAGATATTGTGGCAACACCGTTTTCCAACTCCAAAAACAGATTTGCCTGCTGTGACCTTGAAAATGGGGTCAAGGTCACCAAATCTGACAGGTGTATGCGGTGTCTGTATATACACTATAGTTCCAAATATGAAGACAATCCAGCGATTAGTTCTTGAGATATCGCGGCAACACCGTTTTCTAACTCCAAAAGCAGATTTGCCTGCTGTGACCTTGAAAATGGGGTCAAGGTCACCAAAACCGACTGGTGTCTGCGGTGTCTGTATGTACACCATAGTTCCAAATATGAAGACAATCGAGAGGTTTAGTTCTTGAGATATTGCGGCAACACCGTTTTCTAACTCTAAAAGCAGATTTGTCTGCTGTGACCTTGAAAATGGGATCAAGGTCACCAAAACCGACTGGTGTCTGCGGTGTCTGTATATACACCATAGTTCCAAAATATGAAGACAATCCAGTGTTTAGTTCTTGAGATATCGCGGCAACACCGTTTTCCAACTCTAAAAGCAGATTTGTCTGCTGTGACCTTGAAAATGGGATCAAGGTCACCAAAACCGACTGGTGTCTGCGGAGTCTGTATATACACCATAGTTCCAAATATGAAGACAATCCAGTGTTTAGTTCTTGAGATATCGCGGCAACACCGTTTTCCAACTCTAAAAGCAGATTTGCCTGCTGTGACCTTGAAAATGGGGTCAAGGTCACCAAAACCGACTGGTGTCTGCGGAGTCTGTATATACACCATAGTTCCAAATATGAAGACAATCCAGTGTTTATTTCTTGAGATATCGCGGCAACACCGTTTTCCAACTCTAAAAGCAGATTTGTCTGCTGTGACCTTGAAAATGGGATCAAGGTCACCAAAACCGACTGGTGTCTGCGGAGTCTGTATATACACCATAGTTCCAAATATGAAGACAATCCAGTGTTTAGTTCTTGAGATATCGCGGCAACAAACAGGTGGGACGTACGGACGGACGTACGGACGGTCGTGAATACTATATCCCCCGCTTCGCGCTTTCGCGCGGCGGGGGATAATTATGTGTTTACACTAAAGCGCTGTATCAGAAACATGTACTGGTCCTGTCATTTATACCAGTTCTAAGAGTAAAGTTTTTCATTTTGACATGACATGACATGACATGACATGACATGTGTGATAAAGATACCACATAGTGTAAAGTTTTCAGCATAATAAATTCATTATGGTGTCTTTAGTTGCCGTATACAGTGTCATATTTGGTTAGCAGAAAAATAGCCTCACTGTATTTCTTTCTGCTAACCTGATATCAGACTATCAGTACACAATACTCACTTTTTCATGGGGTCTATCAATGTTTTCTGTGTAGCTGCGTTCTGGAAAACAAATATTTATCACACATTCACAAGTTACTTCTTTTCTTCATTGAGAGACATGAGCATCATAATGCATCATTATTAACACTGTCACTGAGAAGTCCATCAATACTTCAATAATTCTCGACATCATCTGCAGTGAAAACACAAGGTTATGCCTAATGGCGCACACTTATACTGAACAAAATAAGTTAGGGATCATGAATATTTTGGGGGATAATTTTATAAAATTGTGTGCTCTGTCTTCACTACAAAAAAATATCCACCAAAGTAGCCCTGATCCCCAATCTCATAAAAATCAGATCGTTAAACAAAGATCTGAGGACATACCATTGCTGGTCATGTCAGAACGACCTTTCATCTGACCAATCTGACCAAGCAAGCTTATCAGATCATGAAAGTGACAGTTTGAATGTGATTTTTGATTGTGAAACCTCGAAAAAAAACCGGACAGGGTATTCCGAACGATAGTAATGGGCTTTATGTCTATATTCATACAATCTAGACCAGCTATTAGCCATTCCAGAATGTTCTTTTGTTCAGTTTTTAATTTTTTAAACGAGTATATGTCAAAATATGTTTCAAATATGTTTCGATGCGTCGTCGCCAGTTTGAAACTTGTGCCATAAAGCTCGATTATGATGCCTTCTGATTGGCTATTGCCGACTTCTTGTTAGTCATTCCATTGTTCGATCAAAGTTCGCGAAAGGTCGGTCTGACGTGACCCGTATTTGGATGTTCTCAGATCTTTGTTTAGCAGTAGCAAGAACTAAGATCTGATTTTAATGAGATTGCCATGATCCCCAGCTGTTTTTATACAGTATATATTGAAATATGCCAAAACACATGTCTTCAAAAAGTTACCCAGAGTAGACTGTTAAAAGATTCTATTGATCGGGCTAGTCGCCATTAGAACATGATTTAACTATATCATCAAGTTTTACTTAAAATATTGTTAGTATTCTAACATGTAAAAAGCAAATAATATAGACAGTGCTGTTTTCTTAAAAGGAGATCCTGCCGTTTTAACCATTGCGAGACTAGCCAGACAGCTCACCAAGTCCTGAGAGTGAAGATCCAGCGTAACCACTGCATGATCCCACTCCTCCACATTGCGATGCAGAGTATCCTCCCCTTGGCAGAGGGCAGAGGTCAAAAGGTCCTGGGTCAACTTGCGCTCAGATTTTGATACAGCTAAATGAAAGCAAACAACTGTAAAAAATTGTACATTTTTGCACAAGACTTACCTTGCATTATGACACTTGTTTCTGAATGGTGAGTGAATGAGCAATTTTCACCAGCTTGGAAATATCTAACTTCTTACAAATGTGAATACAAAGATATGATAGTATTATCTCAAAACTGAACACCTGGCAAATGCAGTTAAGAGAACTTACTGAGCATGTATGATTGTCAAGCTCCTCACAGCGATAGTACGTTCCCGGAGCTCTCTATACTATCGCTGCCACCAGTCAAAACTCCCCACTGTGAATAGGTGGCCACAACCATGCTTGGAGTTGAACTCGCAACCGAATGACCGTTATGTTTACAAAACAAGTGACGACTGTCGTGACGCCGAATACACTTATCGCTGCTAAATTACTTTCTTCGTTTGTCAATTTGAATTTCTGTTTCATTAAAACTATCGTGTTATTGATATAGTAAGAATGTAAGGGAGAAGTTGGTTGATTTTCCGTTACTCTGCAATCTCGAACCAATCTGATTATCAAAACAACAAAGTAAATTCATCTGGAAAACATGGTCAGTCGTAAACCTTTTCAAATTGAAATATGATGGCATTCCCAAAGACATAAACAAAAGTATAAACGTTACTACATATGGGGTTGGAGGGCAAATTTCAAGATTCTTGTAATGGCCGCGCCCACACTGGTGGCAGCGATGTTACCGAGAGTGTAACGAAGGTGTCACGCGCTGGGAAGGAGCTTGATCCGATTGTAATACAAGGGAGATAACTCTGAAGGCATTATGTTAATCAATTAGGATAAGTTTGTTAACCACAAAACAAACAAGTATGGCCCATACACACTATAAACAATGATTGAAACGTCAAACCTTACCATTATTAGCCTCAACCAAACGTTTAGCATCCTTGTAAAGCTTTCTTGTGACTTCATCTAATCTGGGGAAGGAAGCACGTACACCATTAGAAGATACTTCTTTTAACAAGACGATAAATTACAAAAACAATACTCAACATAGTAATTTTCACACAAAACCCCACGTCAAAGAACCATTAATGCACACTGAAGAAAAGAAAATTTAAAAATCAGACAAATGACACAGTTCTATTTTTTTCAAATAAAAAAGAACAGTTCCCTCCCACCCATCCACCCAATGGCCCAATAGCCAAGACCTTGACTAACATACAAGGAGAGTGTATAATATATAACAATGACTGAAATATTTAATCACTGAATTACCCAAGACTTTATTGGGTTCCTACCTCAATTATGTTAATTTCTATGGACAGTACCACATATCAACATATCAACATATTTTTCAATCAATACGGCAGCACTTATATATCCAATAAATGATATTCCTACGCCCGCCTGCAGGTGGATATATTAACTCCCATGAGAAATCCCAAATCTACAGAATAATCAGCAGAGCATATTTATGAAGAACCTTACATCAACAGTGAACAATTGTAGGCATAATACCCCAGTCTCACATGACTAATAATGCAAATATGTCACGAGAAAGAAAAAATCCAAAAAATACATACTCTTCCAACTTCTTTACTTCTTTTTCGAATTCCCTTTCAGCCTGAAAACAATGAATAGAAATAGTCATAATGGTAAAGAAGTCACTTCATTATTATGTTAACTGTAGATAAATTACACTGGGCTGTGTATCAAATACATTCCAACAAAACAATATCGACTCACTGGATAATTGATAGTACATGAATATCTCTTCCGAAACATCCTTTTTGTCTGACACACGTCAAAGTCTGGGCATGGACAGGCTTAAGTCCAGTGTACACATCAGGTTATTTTCTACTCAAACAGAGTAAGGAGATTAACAGGTAGACTATGTGATGACTTCCTCATAGGGAGGGGTGTATCTTGTCACTGAATTCAAAATAGGTCATCAGGTTCACCAAAATGAACTCAGCAACAACATAGATTTAAACTCATTTAGTTCCTGACAAGGGAACTGACAACAACCATTTGATACCAGTGAATTCTGAATACATTGAAAAGGTTAGGATATCATTTTATCTTTTTTGTAGGCCACATATGAGGGCTGGTCAAAATGTTCTGAAGCCTGACTAGCTTTCAACTATGGGCCATAACAAAGTGAACTAGTCAATGTAGTACACTGTTTGAGTAGTTCATGGCAAGTGTATTTGGTCTGTTGAGGCTGTTTGTATATTAGTGACATCCAGTTGATAAATTTGAACGTGATAGGGGTCCAATTGAACACAGAAATGGAAATTGATTTCAGACCAGGGGTCCGGAAACCGTCATATGCGCCGGACATGTCCGATTGGGAATCTCAAATGTCCGTTTTAAAATATTGCTTACCGGACATTTTAAAAAGTATTGTCCGGACATTCTTAAATTTTGACTGGACATGATCAACAGTTAGGACTGAGCAGTTTCTGTCTGCAGTTGCAACACAATGAAGATTAACTACACTGACATTCAGACAAACATATTCCCCAAGAAACTCATGGGGATTATGAAAAATAAATATAAAATAATTTCACAATTGTTGGTTTTGTTTGTTAGGCTTAGAACATTTTGACCAGCCCTCATACGAGTCTAACAATTTACCTTTTGCCTCAAAATCCCAAACATCTTGTCCATGTTGTTACTAAATGATGTTATAGACCAATCAATATGCTTCTAAATTTCAGTGGAAGTTAAAATCAGTGTTTCATGTCTTCAAAGGATTTCATGCAAAAAAGACATCAAAGAATTTACGAGCCTTTGGTGAAACTGAAAATACTCTGAGATTGCATTACAATATACTGTCAGTTTCACATCGGAAGACGATATAACCTGTTATTATGTTTCTTGTCATCAAATGTAACCATGGTAACAAGTTGATGTTCTTTGTTTATAAAGAGGAAATATTTTTACTCAACAATACAGCATAGTTCACACGGTTCTGCAGACTAGTATATCTACTGTAGTTAGTGAGTGAGTGAGTGAGTGAGTGAGTGTTTTTTGTTGTTGTTTTTTAACGCCACACTCAGCAACATTCCAGCTATATGACAGTGGTCTGTAAATAATCGAGTCTGGACCAGACAGTCCAGTGATTGATGCCATGAGCATCGATCCATGCAATTGGGATATGACGACATGCACCCGATCCCGTTAGTCGCCTCTTATGACAAGCATAGTCACCTTTCACGGCAAGCATGGGTTGCTGAAGACCTATTCTACCCCAGTGAGTGAGTGAGTGGGTGAGTGAGTGAGTGAGTGAGTGAGTGAGTGAGTGAGTGAGTGAGTGAGTGAGTGAGTGAGTGAGTGAGTGAGTGAGTGAGTGAGTGAGTGAGTGAGTGAGTGAGTGAGTGAGTGGGTGGGTGGGTGGGTGGGTGGGTGGGTGGGTGGGTGAGTGAGTGAGTGAGTGAGTGAGTGAGTGAGTGAGTGAGAGAGAGAGAGAGTGTTTTTTGTTGTTTAACGCCAGACTCAGCAACATTCAACAGTGAGTGAGTGAGAGACATGTGCTGCTGCACTGGACTATTTCACCACGAGCATGTGCAGCGGCCAATGTTTTGCTTGTAAATATAGAATTATTTTACAAGGTTACCAAGAACAATGAACAAAGAATACTATTGACATATACCCTGGGTACATCATTACACATCCATATGTAATAGCTGATAATGTACATTGCTTCTTTAAACCCTATTGAAATACAGGAACCTATGGTTATAACAAACTCAAAGGGAACTCTGATTTTAGGTCTATATAACCGTAGTTCGAAAAAGCATATATACATCATATATACAGCAAATGGCCAGGACCAGAAATATGTTCATCATATCCGTCGTTATTAGCGTGTACTACTGTATATAAATTCACAAGCTAAATGAAATGTACACTATAAAGTCAGGTTTACCATTAGTGTTTTACTACTTTTTATCCACTTTTTTCATCTAATGATGAATGCAGCAGAAGATATGATGAACACTGATAATGTGGAAGTGTGTAATCTTTAAGCTTGCAACCAGTGAAGATCCGAGTTAGAATTGATCTTCTGGCTTAGCAACCCATGCTTGTCGTAAGAGCCGACTGACAGAATTGGGTGTGCATGTCACCATATCACAATTGCATAGATCGATGCTCTTGATGTGAATCACTGGACTGCCTGGTCCAGACATGATCATATACAGACCGCCATTGCACAGCTGGAATATTGCTGCAGAAGTGTGGCGTGAAACGACAAACAACTTTTAACACTGTTTTTGCGAGACAGAGTAGAATCTTGGACAGAGTTTGCGGTTCATTTCATTATTTTCCCAAGGTTATTAAGTGTCAATAGTTCACTGCTCAAGGAATACCCTATCAGCATAACTAGCACATTTATAAACAAATGTAATGTTCCTTCTTTTAAACAATTTAAGAAACACTTACAGTTCTTGATATCACAGTCTTTTTTGGTGCCGACAAACGACTGAACGGGTTCCTGTTGAAAGAGACAATAAAAACATCACAAACCGTTATCAAGAAAAAAAGATAGAACTATACTGCAATGTGAATGTAAAACCAACAACATCCATTTTCATGTTGAAATTTGATAGACTATTGTTTGCATGTGTGGTTTTTTTCATTCATCTGTCCTATCATTGTGAACATTCAAGCAGTTTGTATCAACTTTAATCTATTTTACGGAATTAAGCAGTTTTCCATGACATACCAGCTCATATTTTATTTCAATCTCCCATTCTCGCTATTGGGCCAATGTTTTGTTGTCTTCCACCCATTTCCACCTACTTCCTTGTAGCCTTTAAAACAAATTTCTGTAGCTAGATATTTGTTGTTTTGAATGCATTTAGGTGTTAAATTTTCTTACCAACATATATTTATAATATTAGAATCCACATTGACCAAACCAATTTATGTACACTGAAAATAATTATTATTTTCACAGTTAATCGTGATGAATGATTAACAAAACAACTTAAATGAGGGTTGGAGAGTAAAAATATACAAAAGTCTATCTAAAAATATAACTACGAAGAAAGGTTCGTTATTATATGAGTTTAGCTTTTGAAACATTAGAAACGATAGTTTCCTCAGAAATAATAATAAACAAATTTAAATTATGAACAAAGAGCAGTTCTAAAGCAAAATGTTGATAAAGTAATTCGAAATATTGTTTATGTTTGTACATTTCGTTTCGACTTGTCATTTTTAACTAGTCCAAGGATTCAAAATGGCTGCGCCCATGCAAAAGTTAGCACGAATTGCGTGCCAGTGTTTTTCCCGTAAACAACAAGATACGGTATTTAGGGAACAGTTGAATAACCTCACGTCAGCATTGAATTCAATCACAGCGAAAGATGTCAACTTTGACCCGAAATCCGTGACAGCAAGAAGTTCGGAAACGGACGCCCCTGTCACGTACGTCCACATTTGGGAAGATGACATTTTCACCATGGGAATATTTGTTGTGAAACCTGGAGGCAAATTACCCATGCATGATCACCCTAACATGTATGGATTCTGTAAAGTGATTCATGGCTCGGTTCATTTGAAAAGCTATAGTGTTGTTTCTGATCAGAAAATTCCCGAAGATGTTGAAAAGAAATTACAATTGTGGCAAAAACCATTGGTGAAATCAGTTAGTTTACGCCAAGACCAAATACTTACAACGAATGATGATTGCTGCTTTCTCACACCAAGTGATGGAAATATTCACGAAATACAGTCTGCAGGTGGGATAGCTGCATTCCTGGATATTTTGGCACCTCCATACAACAACAATCAGAGCCGGGACTGCCATTATTACAAGGAGCTTCCAGTGTCCAGCATTTTGGGAAATAAGAAAGTTGGCAGTGCATCTATAGAGAACAGCAAACCAACAACCAGATGGCTTATGCAAGTTTCTCAACCACACGAGTACTGGTGTGACACACTGGATTACTTGGGGCCACCAATAATTGTTTAAACTTTAACTTTCAATGTTCAAACCATGCAAGGAAATCTAGTTTATTCTAGGCAGAGGAGATGCTGTGCTACTATCATGACTATTATCTCTTTTATATAATTTATTGATTCATAATTTATTGAATGATTTGTCTAACTTGTCAACTTGTTTCATTTGTTCCATGTGTGATGATAAATTGCATGTTGACATTGACCTGTTTACAAAGAACAAATATGGTATACAATACGATATATGTATACAGGGAAAGTTACTTATGCAATGTTACCTATAACCGATAACAGTAATATCATTTTTTCGTGTTCAAATATATTTTTGAAGTAGATCTAGACAGCTTCATTCCATATTAACCTTGCAATTCCAAATTCCAATCCATTTACACATCAGTGTGTAAATTATGATCATATTCCATGGGAGCAGGTTAATAATACGGCCTCATGTCAGAATAGTGTCAAAACAGCCACAGAAAAAGGTCAAAACATCCACAGGTAAAAATATTATGTCACATGACTTGTATTAATTTATATATATATATTGAATATGTAACATGCAATAACCATGATAACAGTTCTTAACATTCTTAACACGTACCATGTACACCCAGTTCAGCACTTCACCATGTAAACTTTCAGGGGTTTATCTATACTTGCTCAGAGACCAATATTCAGCCCCAGGTCTGCAGCAAATTGGTATCAATAATTTCCCAGTTCATGTCAATATATAAGGTAACCTGTATTTCACTGATAACAATTTTTATCCAACTGTTTTCTCGCAATTATACGCTTCACTGGCATTGTAACAGTGTTGTTTGTTTGTGATGCAGTGATTGTTGCCTTAAGTGTTTAAGAGGTTTCCTTCTGCCTTATACCAATATAGTTTAAGCTAACTGTCCCTCTTTGGGTCTCGCGTGTAAGTAGGGTATACATATATGATGAGGATTTCTTTTTCCATATTGATATGATTTCAATTTTTAGAAAATAGAAATAGCCACACACACATGTGCCTGCACGTTGCTTTGTAAGTGCACTATTCTTGGACGTGACGTTTCCTAATCCTGCTTATTAGGATCAAAGTTTATTCATGTTTTCACAACAGATTGGGACACTGGTCAGTAGAGAGATCAAAGTAATTTGATGAGAACGGTTAAAACAACATGCGAACTCTACTGGAACAGATTACATCGTACAATATCTAACATGTAATCTGTACACCTCCTGCTTACATTGAATATTCATTTATTGTTAAGTTCATTTATAATTTCGACTTTTTACCTGTGACCATTTTGACTTTTTAGTTGTGGCTGTTATGACCTTTTTATGGCCATTTTGACACGTTTGTGTCCGTTATTACTTTGGACATTCAGTTTTGAAGCTGTTCTGACATGAGGCCATTTTGACTACAACCCTTATTCCATCATGTCCACAATGAAAAACATTCAAACTTTTGTCATGTTTTCATGGTTTCCATGCCAAATATAGGGATAGACCATATATTACGATATGCGTTCGTCCCATTACAATACATACCATGATGCTTCATTTACAATAGTTATTGAGATACTTAATTTTCACCATTTTTGCATGCTACAAGCAACATGTAAGATACATGGGTGGCCATGTCATGTATCGTGTTGTCAAAAGTAGATTTGTGATGCATTGGTTGTCATGATATAGGATTACAAGTAGCTGGAGGATTTTTGTAAGTTAAGACTAAGAGTGAAAAAGGCTGATAGCCAAGCAGGAGAGCATTATGCTTATTTCACAACCCTGTAAACCTCAGTAACAATAAGGCTTCAAGGCAGATTATAGATATGTGTATGTATATGGTATATATGTCCATATACCCTACTGCTGCACAGTGAGTTGAGTTTTGTGTCATTATAAGCATTGCTTGCATTGTAGCCATAATACAATGGGGACACAAAGAATAGGCTTCCAACATTGTACCCATATGCAGAATCAAACCTGATCTGCAGCAGGATAAGCTGATGTTTTATCCACTGAACCACCCCACCGCAAACATCTGCTTAGTGCTTAGGGAGGGAGAGATAGAGTGTGTGTCTGTCTGTGAGAGAGTATTATAGCCTAGGCAATCAGATACTAAGTAATACTTTAGACATGAGAGGGACCATGCTTAAATCTGGTGTCCACTTTCAGTGAAGGTCTAGTCATTGTTATTGATGTCACATGTGAAACTGAGACACTGACTCATGTAATTTGCGTGATATTTATGATGAGGATGAGGATGATGTATACCCATACAATTAGGGTAGGTAGTTGGTGTGACATGGATGTGGGGCTTGGTCATTGTACCCAGCATGGATTGTTGCTCACAATATCAACCACTAGGTTGACTGGTCCAGACTGAAATATTTAATTGCTGAATGTTGCTGACTGTGGTGTTAGACAACAAACAATCAAAAGGTATTGAGTTACATAAATCAAACTTACTAGGACTGGCATTTGGCCCAAGCCCCACACACTTTAGTAGGTTCTGCAGATATATTTAAGTCTTTGAGTTTGGAATGCTTTGTATGCCCTGCCATGTTCGGGAGTAGAGAAGATCATGTTAATTGCTATGCAGTTTTGTTATAATTCAATCTCATTAAAATCAGATCTTAGTTCTCGCTACCGCTAAACAAAGATCTGAGGACATCCCATTACGGGTCACGCCAGACCGACCTTGCGCGAACTTTGACCGACCAATGGAATGACCAATGAGAAGGCAGCTTTCTCATGCTTTACGGCACAAATTTCAAATTGGCGACTATGCTTCGAAACATATTATTACAAATTCTCAATTACAAATTTGAAACCTGAACAAAAAAACATTCTGGAATGGCTAATAGTTGGTCAAGATTGTAAGTATTCAGTCGTTAAACCCGTAACTATCGTTCAGGACACCCCATGTTAAAGTTTTCGAGATTGCATGATTAGAAATCACATTCTGACTGTCACTTTCATAATCTGGTATTGGTTAGATGAAAGGTCTTTCTGACGTAACCCTTAATGGGATGTCTTCAGATCTTTGTTTAGCGGTAGCAAGAACTAAGGTCTGATTTAAATGAGATTGTTTTTTCTGTCTTCTTGAGTTGTTTGTTACTGTGGTATGGATGTGTCAAGAAATTGTCAAGAACTGATTTACTGATTTCGTGGTCATGGCTAGATCTTGAATGAGCTGCTCTGATTCTGTTTAATTAATTGTTTAATTGTTGACATGCTTTAAGCACTGAATCTTCATCACCACAATCAAAACATGTGATACGCAGAGTAGTTTCAATTATGTTTATATCATAAAACATGGAAGTATTATATTCCAGTTGCTAATTAGGAAGTAATACAATATCCAGTCAAACTGAAAGATAACATTTGAGTGACAGTGATATTTAATGACAGTTATGACTGACAAATGGCTGTTCTGTGATTGTGTGTCAGTTTCTCCTAATCCTGTTGTATTTCAGTGCTTGCAGTTTATCAAAATGCTTGAAGTGGGAAGATTTGTATCTATCTATGCTGGACTACAAAAGTGCCACACTTAAAGCATTCACAGCTGTTTATCTTGTTGATGAATCAATATCATTTGTTACTGCATTGTTTGAAGAATTTGACTGCATAAATATTTTGATTACCAGAGCATCTTGTTGTTATTTCTACTTTTCATATGATCTATTAAAGAGTAGTTTATTTGTGTTATTGGCTGCCTCAGTTTGCAGTACCAGGGTGATTCCGGGTTAGAATAGATACACAGCAACTTACAATAGATACACAGCAATTTAGAATAGATACACAGCAACTTACAATAGATACACAGAAACTTACAATAGATACACAGCAATTTACAATAGATACACAGCAACTTAGAATAGATACACAGCAACTTAGAATAGATACGCAGCAACTTAGAATAGATACGCAGCAACTTAGAATAGATACACAGCAACTTAGAATAGATACACAGAAACTTAGAATAGATTCCCAGAAACTTAAAATAGATAACCAGCAACTGGAAATGGATAACCAAGCAACTTAGAATAGATTCCCAGCAACTTAAAATAGATAACATAGCAACTTAGAATAGATACCCAGCAACATAGAATAGATTCCCAGCAACTGGAAATAGATAACCAAGCAACTTAGAATAGATTCCCAGCAACTTAAAATAGATAACCAAGCAACTTAGAATAGATACCCAGCAACATAGAATAGATTCCCAGCAACCTACGCTGGTAAGAGGTGATCTGGTGCATCAGTAGAAACTAACAGTTTTAGTCCACTAGACCTTATGATGAGAACACATAGTAAAACCATTGAACAGGGCAAATCTCTACTAGTCCTTATGATACCTTAACTATTGGGCAATTTGGCAAGAACTATAGAACTAGTGCCAATTTCTAACGCTGTAATGCACCTGAAGGATCGGATAGTCAGACTCAGTGACGTCATTGCGTGTCATTGCACCTCAATGGTGTGGATCGTTGCCCATAATATCAATCACTAGTATCGTAATATCAATGGCGTCCAGACTCAATTATGTACGGGCCGTCATCATATGGCTTGAATACTGCCGAGTGAGTGTCTGAAAACAAACTCTCCCATGGTCAGCAGTATATTCTGAAGAAGAGCCAGAGATGCAGAAAGACTCTGTTAAACTGAGTGGTACCTATCCCAATGAAATAATCTGGAATAACAACCATTGTTACAGCAGCATCCCTGGTAGGAACAACTGCACTCTCGGGACGGAGCTTATGCCAGTAATCTGACAGGTCAATGTACTATGTCCATTCAAGAGAGTAGCAATTTAGAGTGAAGAACTATGTGTTGGTAGATTTGATTGACTTAAACTGAATTAGGGCGAGTGAGTTGGAGTTTTACACCGCTTTTAGCAATATCACGGCGGGAGAAACCTGAAAGGGGCTTCACACATTGTACCCAAATCAAAACCTGGGCCCCATTCCTCAAAGCGATCTTAGCGCCACGATGATCGCAAGACTATGCTAAAGAATGGGACTTACGATCACCTTAGTGCTAAGATCGCTTTGAGGAACGGGACCCTGGCCTTTAGCATAACGAGAGAACCTTTAACCACTAGACTACCCCACCGCCCCAAATGAATTAGAAAAACAACAAATATTCAGTAAGTAGTACTTTGTCGTCAGCGTTAGCTTCACATGATGTAGCCATTAAATCTGTTCTGTCAGATGTGGTTATTGTGGTTTGAAATCCAAGACTGACCAGTCGGAATTGAGTATTTTCCAAAGTCATGGTAGAATGAATGTCATTACAATATTGCCCAAGATGTCAGGGTCTTGTCCGTCATCCATCTGTCCATCTATCCATCCATCCATCAGAACTGATTTTAACATCTCAAAATCTACCTCAAAGTGTCAATGACATTATCACAGAGCAGGGGAGATTGAAATACGAGGCCACAAATGTTTACTTGCTTCAACCAAAGATCTTGTAGCTCTAACTATAATAAACGACTGAAAGGACACACTATAGTACTTTATTTTATTATTGTAACAATTTCAAAGCGTAAGTACTTTTTATGCGACGTAGTAGCTACGCCACTGCCCCGGTCACGTTAATACTACCATACAATCAGTGATTGATATGACGAGAAACGCCTCATGCCGTCGGAGCACGATGACATGCAAGCCATCATCTTCCTGAGGCAAGGAGTTTACGGACTCTAAAAGTCCAGTTTCCACTTTTACAGTCCGTTAACTCCCTTGACTCGGGAAGATTGCAACCCAGTCACCGAGCTAGACACCCGATCCATTTAGTCACCTCTCACGATAAGCGTACGATGCTGTGGACCCACTCTAACCCCGAATCCATACGGGGAGGGAGAGAAATATGCACCATACACATACCACGAGCACCCCCTCACACCCCCGTGTAGACTTGCACAAAGTCTCTAAGGCAAAAATTATTAGTTTAAATCATCATTTCTAGATTACATAAATAATAAGAACAAGTTGTCCCGATAAGAGACCACACTGTCCTCTTATATACTTGGCCATTATAAGGATAGAATTATTATACACCCATGGACTTATAATTCAGTACAGACACGGAGCAAAGCTAATCCCCATGCAAAAGGTCATGTCAACATTTATCGTGCTTGCTACGTTTTAAGTTTTCGTAGTGGCCTCAAGTATCTGCGGAAATATAGTTAATTTCTGTATTTGTTGACAAATATATTGACGAATTGTACATATATTAATGCTTACTGGTTCAACGAGCAAATCCATAGAAAATATTAAATGTGCTTCCTGCACGCCCAGTGTTAAATTCCCCAATTGCGCAGATAATGAATATATTGCTTGTGGCGATAGTATACTTATATTATAAATATATCACATCTCAAACACATTCACGAGGGCATGTACCGTGTGATAGTAAATCGAATCCCAGATTCGCCATGACAATGTTTCTAGGTTTGTCAGCACCGCTCGTGGGTTTCACCTAAGTGGTAAACGTCTAAAACCTGAATCATTTCGGGCTTTCCTTCAGATCAAGATGACACGCCGTGGTATAAAAATACTGTTCAAATCGGCGTTAAACCAAGCTCACTCGCTTAATGTTATTTATGTAAATCGAAACATTTTGAAGAAAATAATTATCTACTACCTCAACATTGTGGCCCAAACACGCCCAGTCCTCTCCTTGGTCAGTAAGAACCTACCCCATGCCGTGATGTCGGACATATATAGGTGCTTCTCCGTCGTCTGGTTGTCTTGGGCAATTTAATGTCTCGCCCTTGTTTTGTGAACGAGCCTGTGGCGTCAGATGTTGCCTTGTTAGGGACAAGACGACGGGGGTGTATGATTGGCAAAGTTAAACGTGGAGACGGCAAAGGTGTGTGATCTTATCAAACGAACTACATTATGTGGCAAATGAGGAAAAATAAACCAGAGCCCCCCTGATTATTTGCTGCCCTTATCCAAACTTTGCCCGTTAACCATTTCGTATTGTCCTAAAGATTACACCAGGTCACGTATGAACGACAGAGCCCATGGCTAAAAAATAATTCAGGACGAAGCTATTTAATTTATTTCAAACAAAATGGTATGAAACTTCCGTGAAGATCCGGGGTAGAATAGGTCTTCAGCAACCCATGCTTGCCGTAAAAAGTGATTATGCTTGTCGTAAGAGGCGACTAACGGGATCGGGTGGTCAGGCTCGCTGACTTGGTTGATACATGTCATCGTATCCCAATTGCGTGGATCGATGCTCATGATGTCAATCACTGGATTGTCTGGTCCAGACTCGATTATTTACAGACCGCTGTCATATGGCTGGAATATTGCTGGGTGCGGCGTTAAACAACAAACAAACAAATAAAACAGTCAACTTTCGGTATCCTTAAATTTTGCTTTTAGTGCAACTGCTCAAATATCCATGCAAAAAAAAGATATATCATGTAACGAATGAAATCTCGCCGTCCACTTTGTGCTGGACGTTAAAACGTGCGGACTCGTATATATTGATTCCTTAACTTGACACACTATTTTATAGGCGACGATACTCATACAATACCAGATTTGATGAGAACCTTTGAATATGTACTATGGCAGGTACGTGTGACTAGGCAAGTAAATGGCAGCAGCTTCCAAATCAATGTCCGCAGCGTTCTAATGTTGGCTATTCAAACATGCACTTGTCAACGAGGGCAGATCAAGTTTAACTGCTTCTAGTGTCGCATGTTTGAACG